CCCACGGCTTCCATTATAAGTTATGCTCGACACCTGGTTATCATGAGGCTAATGAATACTGTCAATGCCGTTTTTGCCTCGAATCTTGCTCCGATAGATACCATGCTGAAATCTGTCCCCATAATCTAAGCTATGCCAAATTGGATTCCTCTTCTCCCATATCTCCGACAAACCTGACCTCTGTATAACAACCTGACCATTCTGCTGTTATCATTATTCTTTTCACTGTATTCTTCAAGCTGTGACTCTTGGTCGCGAATAAATGCTGTTCTACATACCTTTTGGGGTTGACCACTGATGCTGCAGTGTTTGGTTCAGAGATTCGTCGCAAGGTGGCTCACAGTCGGGACTCATGTCGGACCGCATCGACTCACGTGCGTTTGCGGTGAAGATGTTTACGTTACGTTGGCACTATGATGGGGGGAGGGGGCGATGAGTTGATGTATTCCAGTCCCAACATCTTCCTGCTGCTTTATGATTATTTGCTGGCTTCAGGTTTCGGAACACATCTGAGCTGAATGTGACTTATACTGACTTTGGCTATGCATATAATTCAGATGCAAAATATTCTTATAAACTTTGCATGGTAAGTTAACCTATCCCAGAAATGAGGCCTAACTTTAAAGACTGCTTGATGGCAAATAGAAATAGTTCTTTTTAAAATCCAGCTTCTTATGCGATGCAAATAACCTTGTAAAGCGTAAAATTAGGCCTGGATGAGGCTCTGTGAAGCTATTGTCTCCTGTGTTCATTCTCACCAAGAAATAAGTTAAATAACTTTAAAGTTAGGGCTAAACCTGCTCATTCAACAGACACTGCTGTTTATATTATTAAGAGAAAATAATATTTTTTACCAATGATAATCAAACCTCTAACTTTAACCATAGCCTCATTAATCTGTCACACATTACCAGCAATCTTCAATCAGCAAACCTATTATAATGCATTAGGTGATACTTAACATTCTCAATTTGCAATAGTAAGCCTTTGATACACTTGGCCTTTGATAGGCCTAAAGGTTTATGCATTTGCAGAAATACTATCAGAATGAAAAGACCAGCCTAGGGTAAGCTTAAATCTTGCTCTTGGCCTTGATGGTCGATGTGTGTATGGATGTCTAATTGAGGTATCATCTGTCTCTTTATAGGTTGGAGTAAAAGTGACCATGAATAAGAAAGATAAGACAAAAATTAGCTTTGGCAAGATAGGCTTTGGATTGTCACTCAACAAAGGAGGCACTGAAGCTGTAGATCCAGAACCAACAAAGTGTGAAGAAACTGTGAACATTACAGAGGGTGGCTTTGGAACATTTGGGAAGATAATTGACTCTTCAGACGTTCCCAGCAGCTCCAGCCAAACATCCAGTGAAAATGTTGATGGTGGTACATCATCTAATGAACAGGGAAGGAAGAGCAAAGTGGCAAAGGATTTTGATGTGGAAGAATTAGTTGAAAAAACTATAGCTCAAGCCAAGGAGAGGCATGGAGACAAGTATTCAAGCAGTGATGAAAGTAAGTGGGAACATATATTATGAATGGTACTCCCACAAGCTTTCACAGCTGTAGTGGAAACAATGTTCTTTTATTAATATATTTAACTAGTTGTACATGCTAGGTCCTACCTATTTTATTGGAAAGTACCAGGTGAGATAAGAAAAAACCTTGCTCTTTGAAATCTCTATTTGTTTATTTGATATCACTTATCAGAAAAAAAATTTATTTTCAGTAGCTACTCCTGTTTACCCTCTAAATTTCATCAGTTTCTCACAAACTATTGTGATGCAAGTGATTTTCTGAAATGAACTTGAATGTTTTTGCTTGGATGGTGTATGGTAGTTTAAACTGCTTCTGGGCCAGTGTTATTTGGTCTGTCAATGGAAATGGTACTCTCTATAAAAAGTAAAACAGTAATTAATACTTGTGAGAAATGATGGGACTGAGCAAAAATTGTGTGGGAATCCTGAAAAAAAATTTGAAAGAAATAACTATGAACAGATTGATCTCCAAGCAACAAGAAATTGGTTTATCTGAGAAGAAGAGAGGGAGTGCTAGACAAAAAATTGGAGTATGTGTTGTTTTCCAAGGTGATAATTCAAGGACACATTAGTTGCGACCTTATACTGCAAGATTTGTAGGAGAGAGTCAGAGGTTTGTTTAGCAAATTCTTAAGTTCAGAGGAAGAAAATGTTTCTAAAGAATCATCACTCCTAGCCAGTGCCACAGGTCTGAAGGTCAGCTCTGTGGGACAAATGCAAGAGAAAAATTCAAGTTGCTATGGTGAAATTGTTCATGAGGCTTAGGATAAATGGGTGAACATATTTAGGACCTTTATCAGATTTGTATAAGTTTGTATCATAGGGTCTTTATTAGCTTAGTTGGTTTTTCATGTGCATTGCAGAATTTCAGAGTATTGTGATTTTTGTTCACCTCACTTGACTATTGAAAGGCTCAGTTGGAGGAGGTATGGAGGAGTAGAATTTCACCATCAGTCTTTAATTTTTGTCCCTGTACTTTTACAGATTGGCTTTCATTACTGCATTCAGGTGAGAAAAGTTCCGAAGTAAAAGCAAAGGAGCAGATGGAGAAGCTCAAAATTCAGAATCAGGATGGAGAAGAGGCTGAAAGTGAAGATGAAGTTATTGGGCCTCCACTTCCTCCTGAAATGAAGAATAAGAGTGAGGAAAAGGAAGGAAGTGATGATGATGAATTCATTGGCCCTCCCATGCCATCAAGGTCTGGTGAAGATGATGAAGAAAGTGAAGAAGGCATTGAAGAGGAGGATGATGAAGATGATGAAGAACCAGAGGTTTGCCTCATAATCTTAGGGAAAACTGAATGAAGAGTGATGCAGTTCTGCTTGCTTATTTCAGAAGTGATTTTTTCTTCATAGGAACGTCCTGAAGAGAAAGTCCCCCAGAGTCATGAAGTAACTTTGCGTCATGGAACTAAAGCTGTTTCGGCCATGGCTTTAGACCCCTCAGGGGCACGACTCATCACTGGAGGACTGGAATATGAAGTGAAGTTCTGGGATTTTGCTGGCATGAATGCATCCCTGCAAAGCTTTCGCTGTGTCAAGCCATGTGAATCGTAAGTCATTTGTCTCTGCACTTGAGCTACTTCTATATTTTTTATTGATATGCTGAAGAGTTTCTGTATCTATGTAGCCATCCAATAAAAAATGTCCAGTATTCTACGACAGGGGACATGGTTCTGATTATCTCTGGAAATGCCCAGGTTAGTCATTCTGTTGAAGATCATTATGATTTTCCATATTCCTCAAAAGATAACTAATATTTCTTTCTCTGCAAGGCCAAAGTACTTGACCGGGATGGCTATGAGAAACTGGAATGTGTGAAGGGCTACCAGTTCATATCAGACATGGCCAATACAAAAGGTCATATTTCTGGACTCAATGATGGATGCTGGCATCCAAAAAAGAAGGAAGAATTCCTCACCTGTTCAGATGATGGGTTTGTGATGAATCATCAGCCTTGGTGCTTCAATTCAGGTGTTTCGTAAAAAAAAAAGTGAAAAATTTGCATCAATCTTTTTCAGGAGCCTAAGGCTTTGGTTGGTGGACAAGCCAAAAGAACATCACAGGATCATCAAGACAAGGTCTAAGGTGGGCCTTCGTACTGCACCAACATGTTGTACATTCAGCAGAGATGGGAACATTGTCGCATGTGGTTGTTCCGATGGGTCTCTGCAGATGTGGGATCACAGAAAAAACTTTGTGAGTTCCCTTGATATTAGCCTCCAGTAATCAGGTTGACTCTCTGAAATGTATTGATTGACTAAGTTTCAATGCACCTGAACAAGTTCAAGTGTAGAGTGCATCAATAGCTATCCATGAGAATCAGCAATCTAATTAGGAGAAATGGAAGGGCCTAGGTAGGGTTCAGTTCAACATTGAAGCATCTTTCAGTGGAGATTTAGAACATGGCATGAGGGCGGTGTTTCTGGCTAGGCTGTCCTTTTTCTTTACCCTTAACATGGCAACTCAATGGTTACATGTCGCTTCAATGAATGAACTCTTTACATCCTTAAAGAAAGACTAGAAGCATTTACTATTTGATGTCAGCCTTTGCAAAACTTCTAAATAGATTGCATGTGGACTGTGTGGAAGTGGTTTAATAAATTATTGACTCACTGGAACTTATTAAAAAGGCTCAGTTAACTATTCAATTTTTGATGGCAGAAAGAGAAGATTGTTTGAGTGGATTCATAATTATTCATCTACTAAGATGTGAAAGATTTGTCAACTGGAATAGGTGATAGGTTATGTTAATCTCCATGATGAAATTCAGTTGCATCTGAAATGTTTGACTCCCTTTACCCTTCAGGTTTTTCAAACTTCTGACTTAAACATACCTTGACATTTAGCTGCTTTTTAGTTTTATCCTGCAAATAGGAGGGCTGGGTATTCCATTTTATATGGATCATGGCATGCCCCAAAAGCATCAGGAGCTATCAGGAGTTGAGTGATTGAATTTGCCATGATGGTAGACTATGTATTAGAACAATGCAAAGGTGTTTCTTTTTTAAAGTTTAATTGTAAAACTACAGTAAATATTTTAAGTGAGAATGAGAGTCTGAACATGTTAAAGGCTAAATAAGGTATAAATGGCTGCTGGACCTTACGTGCTTCATGCTTGACTCCTAGCATCTATAACTGATAGAGAAAAATCCTCTGCTTCCCTGGAAGGATGGGATCTCATTCCATTCTTTGATTTGCTCAGTCTGTGTTCACATAATTATTATTGGTTTTCATTGTATATTGCTCTTGCAATAATTAGTGCATGATACTCATTAATCCTGGTGAAGGAGCTTAGGATACATTTAATGCAGGAGAAGTGTAACTCTGCCTTTTCTCTGCAGGCTCTGAATTTCTGTTTAAGTTCATGGAGCAAACAAAACTAGCAGTCAATGACAATCTGGCAGATAAGCTGAATTTTTGAGTAAATTAATAAGTAAAATAATTAATAATTAAATTATAAATAATTAAAAATAATTAATTGGAAAAGTTAATTAATCCTGTTTCTGTTCTTATATCTTCATAATGACAGCTTAACCTCCCCAACCTGTAATAATGCATCCCCATTCAGGCTATTCTGTCTGCTTTTTTTCCTACTTTGGTTGGTAATTAAACCTTACAAGGTCTAATTACCAACGATTCCACCCTGTTTGTTCTTGAATGAAAGCCTAAGCAGCCATCAATGAAGCTGCACAGCTCTGTAGTCTTTAAATATTCAAATTTTGTGTATTGACTCATTTCCCTTTTTCACAAGTGATGTTGTCAATGCTGTTGCCTCAGCACCGAAAATGCCATTTGGGAAACAAGGGAGTAGGGAAAGACGAGCGGAAGGGGAGCATGACTCCCAGCTGCTAAGGGAACCTTGGAGGAACCTGAATTTTCTCGCTCTTTCTGTCGGCACATGGGGCCCAGTAATTCAATTAAGACAAAGCAATTTTTGAGTAGTGAGTCATGGGTGATTTGGTCAGTCAACCTGGGTAGAGGCAGGGTAAAAATTTTCTCTCTCTTCTGTAGTTTTTATTCCCTTGTCTCTCGCCGTTGCGGTTGCTCGCTGTACTTGGGATACTTCTGCACGTCAAAACTTTTCCCGGGGTATGCTCATGCACTAGCAGTTGCACCGACATGCCTGCAGGACCGTTCGCTCTGCTGTAGATAAGAAGGAAGAAGCCCCCCCCCCCCTTCCCTACAATTCATGGATAATTTTCTAAATTTAACATGCCAAAGCTTAGAGCTTCCATTGTGGAATGTTATGCTGTCCCACGTGAAAATCTAGCTCCGGTATAACCAAAGTGGAACAGACTGCACCCACAACTGCATGGATGTCTCATGTGGGGCCAACAGTGACTTCTTCGATCTGGTCAAGGAGCAGGCGCATTGCATAAATTGCAATTCCTTTTAGAACGACATCAATTATGAAAATTTTTCTTTTATTAATAAAATATTCAGGCATGAGAGGGTTCACCTTCGTCTATATTAGGGGAATATCGACCTTAGTGTTGCATCTGTAGCTGAAGAAACCGAAAGTCGAGATAACGATGCACTCTTAAATTGCTGCTGGTTAAACCTAGCAGCATCTGTATAATTGCCTTATTACGTGGGACAATCTTGTCTCTCGTCTTTCCCCCGTTTCACACTCTTCAATTTTTATGGCTTCTGTTGAGAATTCTTAACGATTTGCTTTGTTTGCAACGGGGTACAAACGTCGAGTTTCACATGGAAACGGCGACACTGAATCATTCAGCCGCGAAGTGGTGATTGCCCTTGCTTGGCGAAAGAAACAAGTCAGCATTTGTGGTTCATGTTAAAGTCAGCATTTGTGAGATAGGTCTCTTACAGGGTTTTCTTAAAAGTAAGAATGTTGGCAGCTGTAGGAGCGAATTGGCGAAAAATAAGCACGCCCAACGTGGGGCTCGAACCCACGACCCTGAGATTAAGAGTCTCATGCTCTACCGACTGAGCTAGCCGGGCTGCTTCAGATGAAACGACCCACAATGCCACATATGAAAGAGACTCCCGCAGCTAAGTCCTCTAATAGTGCGCATGCGCGGCTATCGTAGAGGCGCATTCTTCACGGAAAGCTTGCGGTGATGGGAGTTGCCATTCCGAACGTACCCGCGGTATCAGTGCGGGTTACCCGTCTTCATTTCTATTATGGACAACCTTCACCTGCCTGTTCTGCGCCAACTATACCTTGCGTGAACGAACAGCCATTGTCCGCGGCCTTCCCCATAATACTGCACTGCATTGCGCTGCATTGCATTCATGATTGCTTTTAGTCGGAAAAAGTCCTCGCACTCTCCTTGCATGAAGTTTATTTACTTCTCTTTTCCCTCTGTAAAAAGAAATCACCCTTTGGTCATTACAGGTGAATACCTTACACTTGATTCGAGATGCACACATGCAGGGAAGCGAAACTTCGAGGATAACTTTTTCGTATGATGACCGTGGCCTAGCAACACGAGGAGGGGATGACACCCTTAAATTGTGGGATATCCGCCAATTGAAGTCCCCTGTTCACGTCGCGGGAGAGCTTTTCAATCGATTTCCCATGTGAGCCGCAGTTTTTACTCTTTTGGGAGGCAGAGATATCATATAAGAGGATGGTTTTTTAATTTTATTGCATTGCAGGACGGACTGCGGTTTCAGCCCTGATGACCGGATGGTCTTCACCTCCATTTCCCTCAAAAAAGGAGAAACAGATGGAAAACTCTTGTTCTTCGACAGGAACACGTTCGAGAAGCTGAAAGAGATCCGCGTGTCGGACTCAGTGAGTCAAACATTTCTAAATCCACGATGCAGTTTCCATCTCTCTCATTTACGGGGGGGGGGGGGGGCGCCCGAAGAGATATGAGATTCCAGAGTATCTCATACTTCCAAGGGCATTATCACGTGATTCCTGTTTGGCTAAGAAGCTCCTTGCGCAATAGCAATGGCTGAGAAAAAATAGAAAATCAGTTAGTATTTTACTGGGAGTAACAATACATTTTGGAGTCGCTGTATATTGACGGGAGGAAGGAGAGGGGCAGAGGGCGGTTCTCAAATTACGTAATGCAAGGGGGGGGGGGGGGGCATGCAAGAACAAATAATGAAAGATGGGGAAATAACTTCGCCTGCTTTCATAATAAAAAGAAGACTTCCACGCAGCTGAACTTGGTTTCTCATAATGGGGGAAAAAAATTTGAAGCATTTGAGTAGACAAAATACTATTGCACCTGCCTGGTTCGATGGAGGAAATATCAAATGTCACAGCGGATGCATGCAGACTGAATATATGTCAAACTGGAAGGATTGTCTGATGCATATAGTAGCAGTGGGAAGCAACAGTTATTGCGGTATTTTGGTAGACTCTGAGGCTGTCCTTAATAAAGCCATAAAATCCCTTCGAGGGAAAGTTGTTAAGCTTAAAGGCCCTTTTATTTCGCCCTTTTGTTAACTCTACGAGTTTTCAGCATTCGAGCGTAAGAGTGCGATTACTTCTATCAATGGAATTCCATTTACCCGTTACCATGAATGGTAAGAAAAAATATGGAATAACAGATCTTTAGGAATTGTGAAAGCTGCTCTTCACACTTCCTCGAAAGCATTCCAGACTTGCGATTCAACGACGATGTGGTCTTTGGTGTTCTGTAGTCGGTGATTCGGTGTCTCTGGCACCCCAAGCTGAATCAAGTGATGGTGGGCTGCGGGAACGGAGATGCGAAAATCCTTTACGATCCGATCAAGAGTCACCGGGGTGCCCTGCTTTGCATGGCGAAGACGCAGAAAAAGCGAAAGCAAGTTGAGGTGTTTACTTCGCAACAGGTGATTGCCCCCCATTCCCTCCGGATGTTCCGGCAAGAACGGCCTCGTTCAACCCGGAAACAACTAGAAAAGGCCAGGTTGGACCCTGTCAAATCGAAACGACCCGAACTTCCCATTGGCGGGCAAGGTATTTTGCTTCCTCTTTTTCATTTGCATTTTATTAATCCCTTTCCTTCTCTAACGACGCGAGAGGAATGAGTTTCATTGTGTTATTGCCCTTATGTCTGCGTGACTTCCTGTTACTCGCTCTGAGTGGCCATCCCTCTGAGATGTCCACAGCTCAGCCTACTATTCTGGTAGTATAATTCGAATTTAACCATTTCAAAGCGAATTCGCCTCGGATGACCTTCCCTTCACGGCCTTTCCCTTCTCCCGGGAAAGTTAAAGTGCTGGGAGCGAATGCTCTTGAATTAAACATATCCCGTCTGCTTCTCTCCGTGAAGATATACCAAGCTAATGCTCATTAGCCTTAATGCTACCTTAAGTATCTCCAAAAACAGGTAGGAAAATTCGTTGCATCCGTCATTTGTTAATCGTATTCAGGCTTTCTTATGATAGCGTTTTCTTCATTAAGCCTTCATCGTGTCGCAGTCGTGAGCATGATATGAGGTGATATACACCGAATCCGTTTAAGCTAAACTAATCTGATTTCACAATGGTCCCCTATGGGAACCAGTTTAACAGAAATTTATTCCCTAAGACACCCATTATGAAAAACGGATCAGTTTAAAGTTAAACGAATCTGGTGCATGTCATGCTTTGGCTAGGCGCTTCGTCATAGCACGTTCATTTTGGTCCTTGACGGTATGGAGGGTTTAACTCTGGTGGCTTTGCTTCTTGTCTTCAATTACTTTCATTCTTGAGAGCCAGATCGACCCTTATCGGTCTTAATATACCTTACCTCTTCTAAGCAAGCATGAATCATCCCTTTACGATGTTCCATTCGAGAAGTCATTCATTACTTGCCTCTAAATGAGAGGAGGAAGACAGAATTCAATGGTATTATAGTGATAGAGGATGGTAATTGCTATGCGCCTTAGTCCGTGAAAAAAAAAAACCGGACTGCCAGGTTCTATCACTCTGAATGCTATTGTAAGAAGAATGGCTGATCTAGACTTGATGAGCACGGAACATAAAGCCAGGGTTCAAATTCAGTCTAGGCCAGGATGTTTCTCAACCATTGCTATTGCGCAAGGAGCTTCTTAGCCAAACAGGAATCACGTGATAATGCCCTTGGAAGTATGAGATACTCTGGAATCTCATATCTCTTCGGGCGCTTCCCCCCCCCCGCGGAAAAAAAACCAGGTCGATTTTCAGCCCTATACCATCAGACTTCTCCAATGCATGAGGCCCATACGCATGGTAGAATCTTGAAAGGTTGTTTTTTTTTTTTTTATTTAAACAGGAAATACCCATTTCATTATTATGCCCAGTATGATCTTCCCTTTATCATTTATATGAAACTGCAACGAAACGGCAATTTCATTGAACTGTGAAAGAAATTCATATTTGAATCGCCAATGTCCGAGTAGAAAAATGCGGTTGCGGGAAGAAAGAAGGCTGAAATAGTCATGGGACATCAGGTAATCAACTAATGGGGGCAGATCTGTAATATCAGGGATTCGGGCAGAGGCACCCTCATATTTCATTGATTGTTAGGGGCGCCCATGGTAAAGAACATGCAGCTGCCCCCGAGTCCCAAAGATTATGTGCCAGGTATGTCTGGATGGCCATACCTCGCGGGGCCGAAGCCCCACGTACCATGAAGCAGCAGGCACCCTTTTTTGTAAAGAATGAAGTGCACGGTGAGAATGACTGTTGAGACTATCGACGATTTCCGTCCAAAACCCCATCATTTTATACCAGTTTCCCTCCGTCTTTTCAGTCTTCTCAGGGTAGCCTTGATAATTCGCAAGGTAAGGTTGCCACGTTGACAGCCACACCTGGTTGATTGTATGGTATCAAGATGGGAATAGGAGATAGATGTCGCCGAAGAGGTGCAAGGATGCTGTGGGGCCACTGCTGCCACCTATGAGCTAGCCGGGAAACCACATAGTTTGTACTTTCGCCGGCAGATGTCATTTTGATTCACATTGGAAGGTAGATGATTCTATGTGTTGAGGGGATGCTTGCGAATCATAAAAATGAATTTCTAATGTGAAATGGCGCATGAGCATTCTCAATGGGGAAGCAGACTGCATTGACTTGGAGTCTGTTGTGTGCGAAGTCCCTCATAATTCAGGGTTGCTTATTCCCGGGGAACCCAAACAAGGTGTTTTTTTTTAATTAATTAATTAATTACTTATTAGCACACTGTTCATCACGTGTCATACAGAAGAATGAAAGTATTCGCTTTCAAGAAGGCATTCGGACTCTGAAGACTATCGGCAGTATCAAACTTTTGGCTTTGAAGTAAAATTCGGTATGAAGCATGTCTCTCACAGTGTCGGAAAATGAAAGCAAGGAGGTTGTAAGAGGATAAGACTGGGGAGATTGAGGCTATTACAAAATATGTGTTTATGAAGAACTCTGCATATAAAAAAGAGAAGTGCAAATGAATCGTACGTATCGAGCAAAATTAACTGTCATGTCATATGAAGTAAAGGAGATGATAAAACGGCAAAAGTAGAGGAATGAGGAGGCATTGTTAATGTCCGTCCAGTCGAGTTGCGTCAGGATAGATGTCCTGATCTATCCGCTGACGTAGGGTGTGGAAAAGCATGGGAAAGCCCGATATCAGGCATGACCTGCCACTCAAATGGAAAAGGTGAAAACAAATAACTTTTGTGCCGCAACTTCTATCAGACATGCATTTGCGTGGTTTCTCGATATTCACCTCTCCGTTTCCCCTTATCTTGAATCTTTGGCCCCTGACATCTGCTGAAACCGGCTGATACTTTCCCGTATCTCCTTTTCACATCTTCCCATCCTCAAGGGAGCAAGTCCTCAATGTGGTATTTCTAGTGTTTGCGGTTACTCAGGAACGGGTCCTCTGCTGCTTTTCGCAGAAGAGCTCGTTATTTGCTTAGAATGATTCTTTCTTCGTGGCCTTTCTCCTGATATCGTGGCGTCTGCACTCGACAAGGCGACCCACTCCACTCTTCTCCAGACATGGCTATCGTCCATGTTTTCAGCTCCAGTTAAGACTTCCATTATTCTGCCCCCAATTCGTCTGACTGCCACTAAACACATTCCCTTTGGTATTCCTTTTCGGCGATTTCTCAGTCGTGTCACTGTCCCTGGGATCATTAAACCCCAATCCACCACCATACGATATGGCAATAAGGTTACGTTCTCATAGCCTTTTCTCGTGACAGAACTTCAACTTCCTCTATTGTCTAAAATTCTGTACTACCTTTCCAGGAAATTTCTGTGTGAACGCTACCTTAAATCATCTCGTTATAATAAAGTTCAAGGGACCAAAACGAAAATTTATCGCAAGGAGGTTTTATGTCGAAGGATTTAGTGTATCTCCAATATTCTACGTACAAGAATTAATTTGGGTTGGTTAGTGGGAGAAAAAATATGATGGGAAATGTTAGCAGATAACCCTGAGCGTGACATAACTATGACCACCCATTCATTTCAAAGTACTATGTATGACTAAATACAACCTTAGCAATGAAATGTGGCTACATGACCCAACAACATAGGCTAATTCCATCCCCATGACCAGATTCCATCAATAATATGTGAATGCATGCAAAGTGAAGCACAAAAAATATAACCTTTGTTATTAATCCCCACCAATTATGAATGATTACAGCCATAGCCATTTGTCTTGGAAAACATGAAAAGAAAATGGTTTGAAAATTGAGAAAGAGACAAAGAGAGAGAGATTAGGAAAATAAGAAAGGTGCTAAATTGCTATTCTCTCTCCAAGGACACATTTGTCAAAAATGAGGAGCCTTTATTCACCCATTTAAAGTTGATGGCAAAGGTGGCCATAACAGTGGTAGGTTTTGGTTCATTGGCTAAAGTCTTGGCTAATGACAATCAATAAGAACTTATTTTCCCTAGTGTCAACAACTGCAAAGCCAAAGAACCTAGCAACTGACACACAAAAATGTACTAGCTGCTGAAATCCTGATTACTTAGCCCTTGAGAACAATAACATTTCCAGTGGGACTATGTAAGCTATTGTCAACATTAAGAGTAACGCTGCTCTATTTTATTATTATTATTATTATTCTGCATTCATGAAATGCTTGTCAGTAATATTGAGCCTCTGTATGATAAGGGTCTGGAGGGAGAGTGGCAGCTAGTGGAGGGACGTTGTCCTCGTACATCATCCGGAACCTGGGGCTGAGCAAGAAGGTTGAAGATAATCAGGACCCAAGAGAGGCCTTGCTCAAATTTGCAAAAGAAGCAGCAGAAAATCCATACTATGTTACTCCTGCATACCAACTGTGAGTGTTACTATATGATGAATCTAAGCCTAATCAGAATGGAGGGAGAATGATGGAATGGCTGTAATTAATGAAATATTATTTTCTTTTGGAATTTTGCAGGACACAACCAAAGCCCATCTTTGCTGAACCAGATGCATTTGAAGATGAACAACCCAAGACAAAAAAGAGCAAGTTCTGATTGGGGGAATGAATGTCATTTTGTGGCTGTTGATCTCATGTTATGTTTTAAAAAAAAAAATAGATTCCTTGTCATATGTATCATGTTCTAGTTATTGACATTAACTGACATATGGAAGCGAAGGATTTCCAAGAAATCCATGGGATGGGTTGTCACCAGCGTCGCACCTACAGGAATTCAGCCAAGAGTTTTCTATCTTTCCCTTGCAACTCTTTTATTTCTCAGTTCTTTATGTATTCACTGGCAGCAGTTGAGCCAGACGATGGTGAATGTCATATTCCTTCATCCTGACCTGGGAATCGGAGGGGCAGAGCGTCTGGTTGTAGATGCAGCCCTGGCTCTTCAATCCCGTGGCCATGTTGTCCGCTTCATCACCAATCACCATGATCGAGATCATTGCTTTCGAGAGACATATGATGGGACCCTGGGTGTGGTGGTGGTTGGAGACTGGCTCCCACGTAGTATCTTTGGCCGCTGTCAAGCTCTTTGCGCTTATATTCGCATGATATATGCTGCTCTCTATCTCATACTCTTCAGTGGCATCAACTATGAAGTCGTCTTCTGTGATCAGATCTCCGCCTGCATTCCCCTCTTCAAATTGAGTAACACTCGAGTTATCTTTTATTGTCACTTCCCTGATCAGCTCTTGTCCCAGAGAAGTTCCACATTGAAGATGATTTACCGGGCACCTTTGGACTTTCTGGAGGGGTGGAGCACTGGCCTTGCTGATCTCATTTTTGTCAACAGCAATTTCACTGGTGAGCCTCTTCCTTCCTTGCTGGGTTTCATGTTTGGTTAGGTGTTGGCCATGAGATTTAGATATTCACAATCAGTTCTAGTGGTCATCTAATCTCATTTACATGAAATTTGTTGAATGGATGCTGACTTTGTTCATTTTTTCTTCAATTATTAATCCATATTCTCTTCCTTTGTTAAATGTGCCATGTTGTGTATCTGTATCTTTTAGCATCTGTATTCCATGATACATTCAAGAATCTTAAGAATGTAAAGCCCCAAGTCCTTTATCCATCACTGCACCCAGCGACATTTGACCTCAACCTCAGTGAGAGCATTCAATCCATCATCCCCTCAGAAACCAGGCACCTTTTCCTCTCCATTAATCGATTTGAGCGAAAGAAGAACCTTGCATTGGCCCTCCATGCCCTTAGTGAGTTTTCAGTGTTGTTCTCCTTCCCTGTTTTTCTGCCCTTTTTAAATAATTGCAAATTGATTATTGGTCTCTGAATGCTAATTTCCACCCTGATGGAATGATCAGCCTTTTTTTCCCCTTCCTATAGGAGAAATAAAGGACATCCTGAATCCAGAGGAGTTCCAGGGTATCCACATGGTCATAGCTGGTGGATATGACAAGAGAGTGATGGAGAATGTGGAACACTACAAGGAGCTGTCTGCTCTCATGAAAGAGCTGGGCTTAGAACGGAAAGTCACTCTCATGAAATCCCCATCAGACTCCGAGAAACTCCTACTCTTGCGAGCTGCCACCTCTCTGATTTACACGCCAGAACATGAGCATTTTGGAATCGTCCCATTGGAAGCGATGTATATGCAGAAGCCTGTGATAGCAGTGAACAGCGGAGGCCCAATGGAGACCATTCTGGATGGGGAAACTGGCTTTCTCTGCGATCCTACCCCCAAGGCTTTTGCAGTGAAAATGGCACATTTCATCCAGAATCCAGAGTCTCGTTCCATGGGAATGGCAGGGAAAAAACGAGTTGAGACTGATTTCTCCTTTGAAACTTTTACAAACGCTCTAAATGAGGCTGTCTCAAGTCTATTGCCTGAAAATGGAAAATGAAGGCAGTGATTTAGGTGCTCCCTCCTATTTCTCTTGACACAGTATGACTTAGAAACGCTATGAGGAATAAATTGTAATCACGTTCCTTATCCCTTTATGTCTTCTCGCTTTCATTTTCAATAAAAATTGTTGAAGAATATGTTTTGACTCAAGCTTGAAATGAAACTTTCTTTTCATCAATCTACCCAAAGTTTGCAACGTTTCTCCTGTCTATTTTATATGGGATGGACTTGGATACCTCAGAACCCGCAATCCTCCTGGGGATCATTATGGTTCTATCACTCTTCTCTCAGACTCTAAATGGCGTCATGATGAAGGGAGTAATGAATGATGGAAGCGCAATTCCTTCGCCATCTTCCGAGCACGCTAAGGAACACAAGCTTTATGGCGTTGTAAATAGGAGTCGCACTTTTGAAAATGGTGGCGTTCATCGCAGCCTGAGGTTTTTGGCAGCTTAAGCCGACGTACGCCCAGAATAAGGTTTTTCGCAGCTAAATCATCGCAAGCAGTTCCAACGCTGTAAAGAGAGGTTTTTAGGTTGGATTACTATTAGCCTATGTAAAATCAATTCATTGTTGCAAGCCTACTCTACTCACCCCAAAAATGGTGAGAGGCGTAAAACCTCGGACCTATTAAAGTAAATTGTGACAGCACTTGACTTAAACCGTACTTTTGTACCTTTTTCCAGCTTCCACTCTCGCTCCTGAGGACGGCGCAGAACCATCCAATGGTGAGAACCGGTTTTTGTGGGCTAGGCCTAGTCTATAGTAACAACAGAAGGGGGAGGCACGTGAGGGGGAGATTTTGCGTTGTGCTTGTTTTGGTCTAAGGAGTTCCCAATTGAGGGTTGGAGTTTTGCAGATTATTCATGAGTCTTTCAACACGTCCAGTCCTAATTTTAGACCTTTCACTAGCCTGAAAACGTGTGAATTGAGCGTGCTGCAAAATCTCCCACTTTTGTGTGAATTTATGCTTCTTGCTATGCTATATTCTGGGATATTTTCTCTCCATGACATGACTTTTAGGGAAGAAACGTGCCCTTAAGCCCTTCATGAACTCCTTTGCATGCCTGAAATGTTCAGACCTAAAGATTAAGCATTTTATATGTGGATCTAAAGCATGACTTTGTATTATCAGTTGGTGGAGCTGAAAAATGGAGAAACATACAATGGTCACCTAGTTAGCTGTGATAATTGGATGAACATCAACCTCAGAGATGTTATCTGCACATCCAGAGTATGTGCACTTTCAATGAGCCTAGCATAAGCATAGGACATGTCCCCAACCTGAGTTTTATTGTATTAATTACTTTCACTGTCTGAAATGATTATATTAGGATGGTGACAAGTTCTGGAGGATGCCAGAATGCTACATTCGTGGTTCGACCATAAAATATTTACGTATCCCTGATGAAGTGATTGACATGGTGAAGGAAGAAGTATCTTCCAAGGGTAGAGGTCGAGGAGACATCAAGGGCCGAGGTGGGGCTCAAAGAGGCCGTGGTGGAATGCCTGGCAGAGGTAAGGAAACTTTAGAGAAACTTTTGCTTCGCCTGCCTGTGGGGTGGATGGAATAGTGGTAAATCAGACAAGGACTGGTAGAAATTGTTGCTAGAAAGAAGGACTCTTACCAGGAAAATTAATGTCACTGACCAAACCAGCATAATCCAGAACATTGCACCTATGATTTTCTACCCATTAAAATAAAAAAGAATTCACCAATGCAAAGGTAGACTAGGCAGTGGAGATGGGAAATATATGAGAAATTACAAGGAGTCACATTCAATTTATAATTTCTCAAAGCAGTGGTAAATACCTATGTTTTTTTTGTTGCCCCTGCTTGCATCATGGACCTCTGGAACTGAGATTCTTGTATGAGGAATAAATTTGGAGCATTCAATAAAGTTCTCTTCTTTGCATGCTTTATTGAGTGCATGTAAGTGATAGCCATATAGTTCTGAATTTTTAATGAGAAAAATTATGTATAATGAAATATGAAGAAAAACTAGGCATTTTTACCAGAAAAGTAGGCTGTTAAATTTGCATCATGAACCAAAACTAATCAGTATTAAGGTAATACCAGATGAGTGTGTTTCTAATGTTTAAAGTCCCATTAACACTTGGCAGGATATGTGAGCTTTCGACTTGTTTGGTGTATGTTTGTGACTGTAGGACTGAAGGATCTAGTTTAGTGGAAAGCTATTATGATTCTACATCTTCCAAGAATTGCTTCATACCTTGTTATCTTTCTCCTTATTCCATTCACAAGGTGGTGGAGGACGTGGAAGAGGAATGCCTGGTCGAGGTGGCCCACCGGGGCGTGGTGGAATGAGGAAGCCTGGGAAATAATCATTGCTTTTGTTGCCTTAAGTTATACTTCTCTTGTCACCAGAATGACTTCTGTTATGTTTTGGGTACTGAATGAATGACTTGATCAATTGTAGAATATTTCTTTTCATCTATGTCACCCTCCTAGTTCCAGTCAGTGTTGTTGAAACTTGAGAAATATATGAGAAGGGCTGAAGCAGAATATTAGAGGGGATTGGTGAATTCCAATGAGTTTGAATTGACTTAGTGTATTTCCTGGTTCACTTTGTAGTTTCACAGGTATAAAATTAGGTTGCTGAATATTCCAGTAGATTAGAATTTCTAGTTTAACACCTTTATCATGTAATGACTGCACAGGGTGGGAAAAAAATGCCATAAACTGCTCATCAGTGCATTCACTGCTGCCCCCATTTATACTACTTTCCTATCATCACTCTTTCAATGCAAGTGTTGAATAACCCTTTCACCCCAGTGATTGAGTAAACTGAGTGACAGGAGTTTGTGCCACAAGCACAGCTGACAAGTATATTTAATCTCAGAATGTAGTATGGCAAACATTTTTATTTCTATACCTATAATTTACTTTATGACTTTTTGCTGTGGTGTGACCTATGCACTCAGAAAATTTTTTACCATCAGAAAAAGGTAGAATTTGCTAAAGAATGATACTTTGAAATATTAATTGATGTATGCTAGGTCCTCTTCTACCTCTTCTATTTTGATAAATGACTGGATAATGTTATTGGCACCAGCCCTGTCCAAAATCATTGAGGAAGACCATCTGACTTCTATGAAGTTTTTACTTGCAGGTCCTGCTGGTTCAGAGGCTGTTTTTTCCTCTAAATTTTTATATGAGGTGTTTCTCTAACTGTTTAATGAAAAGGTGCAAATCAGGGCTGTTAAGTGACCATATTTCAGATTCTCTGAGATCTGGCATGTGCTCATGCTAGAGTGAGACAGTTTTCTGAGTCCTATGAGATGTAGCACCTTGTTTCTGGAAGAGAAACCAATTTTCACCAAAGACACCAGGCAGAGAGCTAGAAATTTGATCTCATGATAAGTCATGATAAATAAGGTTTATTTGTACTTATATTGTACCATTTGGGGAACACATTTTGAAAAAGTTTACCAGAATACCATTTTTCAGAACCTGTGGGACCCACAAGTGAAGATATTGTCTTACCACAAAGTGGAATATTATCTTGCAGCAAATTTTCAGCAGATATTGTAATTAGTGGCAGTCATGTTTATCAGCTCTCCCTGAAAAATGTGGAAACTATAAAATATTGCTTCTTAAGACTTTGATGGAGTTGATGTCTTCAAGTGCATCATGCTCCACAAGTCCATCAAAGGATTCTAGTGCTCTCATAAGTAACTGATCAAAGAGCTTTGCTTGTTTTTATTTTTTTATTTTAATTATGTCTCACCATGTACAAGGTCAGTTTGAGATCCATATATGGAAGTTGGGTAGGTTAAATGTTTCACAGAGGCCAGAGTGGTGTTGTTTTGTTTATCTCATATTTTATTTAGGCATTCTATAATTAGGAAAGCCAAAGTGCTGCTGGTTCCCTAATAAGAATTCTCGTGTGACAACAATGAAGACATTCTTGCAATGAGATCTGAAGATTCAATACCCTGGGCATGATGCCTCAGGACCTGTTTTGCATTTCATCTCAATAGCAGTGAAGATAAGGATTGCTGCATTTGGAGAGCCTCAATCTTCAACTGACAAATTCTTGAAGGCACAAGTAGTAATCCAGGTCCTTGCTGTAGATGCCATTCCCTTCAGAAATGCTGCTAGCTTATGGAAATTCCTCTTCATGTTCCAGTTCTGCTTTGTGAAGATTTATCCCTAGTCCATAGTTCAAACTGAGACATATGGTCCTTCCCTATGAGTGGACTCCACGCTGGCCTCAACATAGCCATTGTTCAGTGTTTCCTTCTGTTTCACTATCCGAACGATCCCAATTGTTTTCATGAGTTCATTATCAGAAAGAGATGCATCATCATCGCTGTCGAGTACCAAGCTGTCATCTTCAAATTTGTCACATGCTTCTTCATCTTCATGGTGAATGTTAACATATTGGTTCAGTTCTTCGCTTTTATCCCGTTCGCAAGCAATATAATATCCAGAATCTTCCTGTGGAAATTGCAGTATCTTGCCTACTTGAACTGGGCCATTTGTCTTGACTCTGGCATTTCTGAAAGTGGAGTCCTTCATGGCTGGTTTAGAATCCTGTAAGATTCCAACTTGAAGGTATCCCAATGCACTTTCTGCAATGATTCTTGTATTCGTGCTCTGTGTGAGTGCCTGCCTCGAATATTCCTTAGGGACTGCCATGGTCTCCGATTTTGTGCGCCTGTGGGACTGCATCAAATAAGTTGTGGATTCATCGTTCACCAGGTCCCCTAATGACTTCGTCTGTTTTAGGAAGACATACAGGTTTTTTTTTTCAAACTGTTGCAGGTAATGAATACACGTTTTTATTTATTTATTAACGTACCCTAATTAAGACTGGGAATACGGTCTTGGCAAACTCTCCTTTCTCCTGCGGTTGTGTACTGCCTTGAAGAGTCTGTGAAAAAAATGGAATCATCAAGTTTCATGAGGAGAAGGCTGTGGTTATAGACTATGTATGCAACATTGGTACGTCGATTTTTCTCGAAAAATGGGAGGGGGGGGGGACTGTAGATCCTCTATCCTTATCCCCATGTGGTGTTCTTTGAGCCAATTGAGACTGGGTTACCTAATAATACAGCGGTTCCCAATGGCGGTAGAGATATTGGGGGTGGGGGGTTGGATGTGCTAAGCCAGACTGGTCACTGGCTAAGCCAGTCCACTTTGTCCAGCCCGCGAAGTCCTCTTCAACTGTTGGTTACGGAAAAGTACTGCGAATTTCAGCCTGTTTGCATGTAAGATTTGGTACTCGATTTTTATTGCGGTCTCTAATCACCCCGTAAGGCTTCTATCCGACCCCCAGCCTGATCGAGTTTGACACCCCGGTGTTAAACAAAGATACGAGGCGGGACGTTGTTCAACGAAGACTCTCTTGGACGGAAATAACTTACAAATTGGATTTTAATCACTTCTCAGGACTGCCAGGGGCGGATGCCCTTCCCCCTCCCCCCCCCACGTACAAATAAATACACGCCTCGTCCTCCAGCTTCTTTTAAAAATTTTAAAATGAATTTTGAGAGGGCTGAATTCACCCTTTGCAAAAGGTTTAAGAGGCTTCGATGGCCTTCAAATTAATTTCACTCACCGCATAAGGATTTTGTACGAGTACATACGTGTGTAACTTCCATATAATAGGAAGTGACTCACAGCGATGGCCTGATACACACTAGCACTGTCAGTGTCAGGTAGGAAGGCTTGATTTCGTTGCCCCTTTGGATTCTGAACAAGAAAGAAATGCATGGTTTTTATGCGATTGTTGGCCCGAAGTTCCTTTTAGATTAGTTGGACAGAAACATACATCGGGAATATATTCGGAGAACGCCTGCGGCAGTGTTACTTGAACATCCCCCATCCTGTGAAAGCGTCTTCTCACCCTGGAAAGGTATGGGAAATAAAATTCTTGGATTCCCGCGATCCTGATGGACGAAGAAGAAAAGAATAATATGGAAGAACTAGTCGGAAATACGACCTCTTGCCGACCACTACAGCCGATACGACCAGGACCACAGCGACAACGGCACTGACCACCGTCACAATCACTGTGAAATCCTCTGCAAGGGAAAATTCAGTAGAGATTGGAACAACTTCAATTTAATTTCGATGAAGGATTGCATGGTTTTGACAATCGTGACATTAAGGGAAATGCTTGTGCCCAAAACAGTAACTGTGAAGATGAGAGTGAATATTAGTGAGTTTTTTTTAATATTAATGTTTTTTTTTTCAAATGCTGGTAGCAATTGCAAATGGAAGTCTGAATATTCAGCATACCTAGACGGGAAGTTATATATTTCCCAAACTTCCCTTTTGGCATTACTTGCGGTGAGGTCGATCGGGACTTGCATATAGCTCATGTCGGTGCCTTTTTCATGACTAGTTGGTAAAAATAAAGTGGAGTTAGCAGAAAAAGCAATGTGATACTAGTTTCAGCGGGGTCAGTTCCCGATATGAGTGATTCTAAAAATATAGATTTTCATTAAAAATGTACCATTAATGTGTCGAAGCTTAAAGGAATACATGCTGAAATCCTGGAAGAAGAGTTCGCAGATAGAACGGATCTGATGAGGGTTCACCTCAATATTGCTTTAGTACTTACCCATGCCTAATTAGGCTCTCAGACGTTGATGGGAAGTGATTTACTATTTTTTTTTTAGTGCGATCGGATTCCAGCTATTCCGTCTCCCAGAATTTGCATTTAGCGTTTATTCACTTAAATTAAACATTTTTATTTTCTCCCCTGGAGATTTTACGGTGAGATTATTATTATTATTTATTATTATTATTATTTTTTTTTATCATTATCATTATTATTTTTTTATCATCATCACTATTATTATTTTTTTTTACCTGATTCTTGGTTTAATTCGGCCTCCTTCCAGCCCATTCCACTGTGCCCGAACTCTCCGTTGGCCGAGACAGCGAACTTAAGGGGTTCTGTTGAATTCAGCTCGAAAACGTTGTTTTCCGAAACATCCCAGTTGATGTCCGTCTCACAGCTGGGCCACTCGGGGGGAGAGCGGCACCAAAACACGGTGAAATTCGTGGTCCTCTCGTCTTCGAGTGCTTCCCATTCCAATATATAATTCCCCTCGTTCGTGTGGCGTGGTGCCTTTGTCGTTGGGCATGGGATACCTATTGTCGGATTTTTGGAATGCCCGGTTTCAGTTGCCTGCGTTAAAATTATGTCGAATCTTCGAAGAATGGATCCCGCGGGACTCTCACGGTTCGTTTCCGCTTCGACTTCGATGACGGAAGGCCGCGGAGACATCCCAATTTCGTTGCTGGAAAAGATGGAGAACCGGTAGGGCGACACGGTGCTGAGGTTCCCGAACGTGGCGGACGTGTTCGTCACGGACGTCGGATGGAATTCGGTCCCCGTCGGCAATTCCTCTCCTTTTACCTGCAGCGCATGAACGAAAATAATCACTGATCTGTTTTCCACGCGATGAGAGGGTTTCTTTTCGAAGGATTGCGGTCATTTTTCAATGAAAATATGCGCGGGAGTAGTATACAATCCAACTTCAAATCCAAAAATATATTATTTCCTTCATTTTTTCTAACAAGGCGGGCCAAAAAGTCCATACTTCGACTTCGAGACGTGCTTTCGATACTAAAATGCTTATCTTATTTCTTATCTTATTTGAGATGATCTTACCAGATAGGTGAAGTTGTCTGAGAAATGCTCCCAGTCGTGGAGAGGGATCCAGTAAAGGTAGACATGGCTCAAGTCATCATCAATCCGCTCGACATGGAAGCTCCCCGTCGGCACGTCTGGGCTCCTGTCTGGCGCTACCGAATCGACATGTAAAAACTCGAATAGAAATTTGGTTATTAGTTGGGGGAAAGATGGACAGGGAGGAAAAAAAAAGAGACGATCGAGGACCGTGTACCTTTGTGCATGGTTTCGTTTTCGGCCTCAGAAGTAATGGACCAGAGATCCGGATATTCTGATCCTGCCGCAATGGCCTTCATCCTGACATCGTAGTTGGTATTCGGCAAGAGGTCGATCAATGTATAATTCCAGGAATTCCGTTTCGAAGCTCCTGGGATCGTGTAATTCGTCTCCTGGATAGCAATTAAAAATCCGGTTCCGAATCCCTTATCGACTCCTCTGATAACGTTTTAGTGCTGCTGAAAAATGCATGGTCAGGGTTCTCCTTCATATTTATTATATATATTTACTATATATATATATTTACTGAAATACGGAAGCATCCCCATTAGGAGCAGGCTTTTCCCCTTTCCCAGGTTCGCCCTGCCCCTTCCATTAACGAAATTGTTTCGATTCCTTCAATATCCAAATCTGTTGTCTCCTCCTTAGCATCATCGCACACTTTTTTGGACGTTCCGATCTTGAAATAGGATAGCGTGGAACACGCCCAGCGCTATGCACACGGCCATCACCGATCCATGTTTAGGAGACCTGATTCAGGTGCTCCTTGTAGTACTGTGGAATGTACATTTCGTGTTTTCCATCCTTTAGATTCCATCACTCCATTATTCCTTCTCGTCTGTGAGGAAGCCAGAACAATGTCGAAGGACGGGAAATGGAGAGGAGGAAGCATGGAATCACTTATATCAGATACCGGATATACCGAATCATGAATAGTGCGTGTTGCTCTGGGGACATTTTCATGCTCTAAGCAGCCGATGCGTACATTTACTGACGGAGTGTAGTAGAGCAATAAAATTAACGTGCACTAATACAGGTAGGAAAATTCGTATCTTCAGAGACTTAAGTGAAGCCAGCAAGGAGAGACGTCCTCGTTCGCTTCCCAAGCTTAGTTCGAATGAAACCGATGAACCAGCGCGTCCCCCGTTTACGTCGCTTCTCGAGTATAGGGTGAGTTGACATTACTTTGACGAAATGAAGATACTCGTCCCAGGATTTGGGGGCCCATCGGATGTTATGGACGATGGAGATGTTGTACTCCTCTAAGCCACCTGGGAGATCCCAGGTGACGTCCAGTGTCTCCGCGTCCACTGCCTTCACGGTCACGTTCTCCAATTCCTCAATCCAAACTATATTAATGGAAGAAAATTAACTTTGAACAGTGATATGGTGATGACAATCATACCGACTCAGAATGCCGAACAAGTCAACCCCTCTTGCTCCTTTCGGCTTGAACTGGTATGTCGACCATTTAAAAAAAAATCAAGTTTTGGCTGGCCAGAGTACATACAGCATGGCACATACAGATAGTAAGTACGGAGAATGTCGCATCCACCGAACTGCCTCATTTTAAAATACATTTTCTGAAGATATGAATGAAAATGCAAAATAACATTATTCATTTCATTCCACTACTTCAGCAATGGTCTCAATGAAGTTATCTTTCCCGTTCAGACTCAAGTTTCAGTTTTCCACGGATTGGATGGTTTCAGCTGATATTTTTTTTACACAAAATTTTCTCATATAAAATGCAAAATCAACTAATCTTCATGCTAGAAATAGGCTTTGTCATAACTCTTGAATATTGAAGCCGCTCTTCCTCCGAAGATTAGGAGGAGCGAGTCTTCCAAGAAAATGTGTAAAATGTCTTAGCATAAATGGTACGACCCAAACCAGTCGATCCATGTTCTTCTAGGTAAGATGCATTCTGAACTAGTCGAAAGGGTTGAACGGCAAATGCATGAAAATGAACTGTTGGTGGCAAGATTCGAGAGAAGAGTGTGCCCAGGCGAGGTAATGATTAATTGTCTTTCAGGCTCAGAAAGGGGGAACCTTTCGTCAGAGCGAGAAAATGAACCTTCACAGAACCACCGGTGAGGCTGCCGGTTTAAAACACCTTTTGCCAAATTAATGGACAAAATGGACAAAATTAAGGTAACACCGTTTTTCGTAAATATTTTAATTACAATAGCAAATTAGAAGGTGAAAATACGTTACTATACGTAATTTTGCATGCAAATTGTGAAATTCCAATCGAAATTTATCTACGTGCTTTGCAACATGCATATCAGTGAAGCCTATAGAAAGGTGACGGCTATTGTTCCAGCGTGTCTGCTGGAACATGTAATTTTTCGTTGCATGATGTAATTATCATAACTCTGTTATTACCAAGTTTCTCTTTTTTTTAAATACAATTATCGGTAATGATAAATTGTATATCTGTACCAATTTTCATTTATACACCTCACATAATAAAAACGTTATTCTGCTTTTTGTGATTGTTACCTTAATTTTGTCCACGAGTGTAGCAGATTAATTCAATAAAGTTTCGAGTTTTGATACCGAGACCCCATCTAGTAGAGAACAGCCGATATTTTAAACGTTCCAAGAGGTGGGAATATGAATTTTGACAGGAAGTACGGTAACAAATTTTGGTTATTTACTGACAATTATATAAATTCCATGAAAATGCAATACGAACTTCATCTAAGTCAGGGCATCAATTTCATTGATACAGCGAAGTGGATCTTGAACGAAAACGCGCAGTTTCTTCGAGGAATATCTCGATTTCTGGCATTTCGCTCCCCACTTCCCCATAAATGGAACCGTAAAGATTGCATAGGGACCAGACTCACTGTTCCGATAGTAATCAAAGGGATAAGTGAAGGTTCGATTATCGAGTAGATTCTGGCCTTCCACAGTCATATTCACTTCTGTCTCGCCGGGTGGATGAGGAATGAGTCCTGCCTCCATATCGCATTCCGATATATAATTGTCCGCCTGCAGGCAATCGATCCTCGTCGACCTTGTATCGCATCAAGTTAGTTTAGATCGCAGAATACAGATATCCATAATGGAGGAATCGACGATGAGGAATACCGGTACCCGGTCTGGACGAAGAAAAAGTACCGAGTCACGACGGGATTCTCTGGTTTTGACCAACTGCAATGAAGCGGCTCCAGCAGCTTCCACCAACAACGCCAAGACTTCGGCTCCAGCGGTGGTACTGTCAGCCATCATATAACCTTAGTTCCTTGAGACATCTTAAAGACATGAGGAATCATGAAAAGGGAAATGCATCTTACACCCGATTTTCAAAGTTACGGAGTCAAACATTAGAACGTTCTCGTTGTCGGAGGACTTCCCGCATTCGAACCGACCGGAATCATTCACGGTCGTATCAGCGACGAGTAAAGACACCGTCGTCTCATTCCACGCAGAGTTTGGTTTCATGACGTCACCAGAGGATGTCTCGAATCTGAGGTCAGAGATCTTGTATCCTTCGGAAAACCCAGCTTCCGTCAGAGTGCAGAAGAGCCTGATGTCATCCCCGCTTTCGAAGATGTATTCCCCATAGTCGTTGAGAATTCCTCCTTCTGGCTGCAATTCTGCCGATCATTTCGAAACCATCTCACACAAAATATTCCTCATCGAGCGTCCATATCCAACTATAGAGCCTTAGCAGGTAGCATCACGAAGGGAGTAGAAACTCGAAAACCTAGTTTCCTCCATTTAGGACGAGACCCGTAAATCCCATTCTCTGATAACAAACTCAGGTTAATATCTAACCGCCTCCTCGACATCCGTCTCGCGACGACTCACTCGCCAGTTCTCCCTGGCTCCAATTTCGACGCCGTGTCGCTTTCGTCTCCGCCGCGATGAAACCGAGGGCGAGGAAGGGCGCGAATGTCCAACACCGCATTCCGCTTCGGGTCGATGGGGTCGAATGTGAGAGACCTGTACCATGGAAAGGATTTCATCAATTCAACATCAAATTTCATCAATACCGATTCAAGGCTCAGTGTCTTTGAGATGGTTCATATATTAAAATAATGATATTTTAATGCTATTTTACTGGTCACATAATTTGAAACTGACTTGGTTGTGATTACCAGCACGGAGCCCATCGGACAATAATTTTAAAAATATTTAATTTAAATACAATGAATTAAGAAAGTTTCCAGCTGTCGTGATTTAAAATGGAATTTCGCTGATTAATTTCCTTAGGGGAATCAAGAAGAAAACAATCGGATTCTGCCACTGTAGCATGAACCCTGCAGATGAAGAACTTTGAATCCAGAAACCTCAACTTTAATAGGAATTTTGTTAATACGAAGAAAGTATATGATTTATTGATAAAGTTCCTCGAGAGGAAAGTGACAATGGCTTTCGGTGATTCCTTATCGCCATGCCGTTGTGTGGTCTGTGCCTTTCGGCACCAGATATTAAATACGAAAATAAGCTCTAGTATATCAGAGAGCAGTTCTTCAGTAAAGGATATTCATATGACAGCGAGAGGAGATGCGAGGGAATGCGTCTTTTTCCCCCATTTCAGTTTGGACAGGTATCTTCTCTAACTTCTGCTCAGTTTGCGAATAGGAATTCTTTGGAGTGCGACCTCGGAGAAGCACCAAATCTGGTGCATGTCACCCAATATCTGTAGATTTACAGATAATGGGCGACACGCACCAGATCCGTTTAACTTTAAATTCATCTGGTTTCATTTTGGGGGTTTATTGGAATAAGATTATCCCTGACAAACCGATTTCCAAAGAGGAATATTGTGAGATTAGGTTAGTGTGAGTTAAATTAATCTAATCTTACTTATCGGGTGCATGTCACAATAATTAACATTCGGGAAGAGCAGCATAGAATGTGTCAACGAGGATGTCCCATTTCTTCATGCCAAAAGGCTTCACTCCTGAAAATTGTCTTCTATGATGAGTTCAGCTTCGTATAGAAACGCCCTCAAATGCAAGAAGCTTGGCGTCTCACCTCATATGTATGAGCTTTCGTGGAAATTTGAGATTAAGTAAATATATTAATAGAAACGTCGCGCATGCGCTGGTCGAAGCTCGCAAAAAAATCGAAATCACGCCGTATAAGTGCAATCTTCGGCGTCTTCGGTTCGAGCCATCATTTGCTCTGTCTCGTTCCTGTTATGGGAAGGTAATGAGCAGTCGAACACAGGGCATTTCAAGAATGACTTCCGTTGTTCAGACGACGGCCTACAGGAAACCGGACACAACCTTGTGAAATTTGGTGTGTAGACCGATTTGACCACGCGGAAGAAAACGCGCGCAATCGTGCGGTGGTTTATGATGGTATCGTGGCCATGGTCCACAAATGGCAGGCGTTTATGTAATAGCTGTTCGATGTGGTTTCCTTTTGTGATGGTCATGAACTCCGATCGCGACGATACGTTCCAAACTGCTGCTCGAAGCATATGGAGCGGACTTCTTGCCGCATGCTCTCCTTCAACTCGTGGCATGCGGTGAGGCCGTTGCGGTAAACACGGCTTTTGAGGCAACATCAGAGCAAGAAGTCTGCTGGGGTGCGGTCAAGTCAGGCGAGGATTCCTGAGAGTGACGACTGATGGCGTTCTCCGAAAGTGTCCCGCAGACATTTTTTGTCACATGGTTTGCAATGTGTGGTGGAGCATGATCTTGTATGGAAATTGATGCACCACACTACGTTCATGAATGTAAGGAATCACTTCGCTCGTCAGCAAGTCATGGCATCGAATCCCGGTGTCTGTTTGGTATCCAGTGGGAGTTGCTTCTACAAAGAAATGTGGCTCCGGGATGAATATGGCATTGGAATGAACGGTAGCCTTTGGATTTTCATCAGACCACGTGACGCAGTTGTGTGAGTTAACAAGATCAGAAAGGTAAAAATACGCTTCGTCCGTTCACAAGATGTTCGGTAGGAACTACGGATCCACTTTGCCAATGCATTTCGTATGGGAACACGTGAAATGCGTGTCGCCACGTTCGCCAAACCGCGGTTTCAGGGATTCCCGTTTTCTGTGAGACTTCGCCACAGCTGGAGGCTCCAAACCGATCGGTCTCGGCAATTTCCTTTGTCACCCTGAGGACCTCAGCGACGACTTCCACCGGTGTCGATGGGCGACCAATCCTCGGGGCATCGACTGCACTGCCGGTCCGTAGGAATTCGGCCGTGAGGTTCCGTATTGCCCTCGCCTCGTGCTGTGTTGCCGTCGGTAAGCACGTAGAGCTGCTTTGTTATTCCTGGAATTTTCATACCAGAGCCCAATGAACTCAATTCGAGCTTGAAGCAGAGAATTGAGTTCATTGGTGACTTGTGACTTGTGGGGAAAAAAATCAAGTGAATTGTGAAAAACTGGTCGATGATGCATTCGACCTAGGCATCCTATTCCTAAGGTACTATAGGCTGCTGTATCAAGTACGTTTTCTTCTACGCCTTGTATTTACCTTCCCTGTAGAGTAAATAATGTCAGCGTCGCGGGATTGGGGGAGAGGGGGACCTACTCAGTCTGTTATATCGGTACTCAAAAAGTACTCGAAATTCCGTCACCCGATTGTGTTTTCCTCGTTCAGATGCTTCTCCTCTCGGGCTGAAAGAAATCAAGTGCATCGATGGAAAGTGTAAGCCATATGGACATGTGCGAAAAGAACTGGAAACGTTTTTGGGGTAGTTCTGCCTTTGACGAATCCCAAATTTCTTTTTTTTATTATCCGGCATTCCCATAGGTACTATGGGGAAATGCCAGATATTGCGGTCGGTTTGCCACTTTTTTTTTCATTTTTTTTTTCATTCCGTCTGTCCGCAGTAACCATAGCGACTGTACAACACGACCCAATGCACACGCGCAGCTTTCCGCCTGGGTTGGGGCGCCCTTCTTGCACGAAAACGTCCACTTCTCCTCCAGCCGTGGCGGCTGACGGATCCATAGTATACAATGGGGGAGAGCAGCTGCTCCCGGCCGCGAAGACAGGGTTGCTTGGCATCCTACACATACTCTTCTCCCATCTCCACGCGATGCGGACGCGCGAACCATCGAGAACATGTCTAGTTTTCCAGGCCTTTTCATATAGACCTATGCCAAACAGGTACAATTTATTTTAAGGTTGGATGTTTAGGATGCAGTGAATACATAAAATAATTCCAGGGGTACAGGGGCCAGAGGAATGCCAGATCTGTACCTGGGCTGGTACTCTCTAGTTTGTTTTACTGCACGATTTTTCGATTCTGCCGCTCTGTTCCCCTCAGACTGTGCGGCTCGTCTGACGAGGATGTCCCCCCCCCCACCCAACCTGACCGTCTAAATATCTTTAATATTCAAACCATGTCTGAGTACAACGGTAAATACTCATGTATTGCGTACTATACGAGGTGCAGTCGGTAAGTCTGTGCTGTCATGCTTCAATTCCAATTCTAAGTTTCGCAGAGCCACTTCTCACACTTGTCAGCATCGTCTCCTTCCCTTTCTCTTCACAGTTGCCACCGTTTTAACCAGCCTCCATAGCACTCGACGAAGTGGACTTCGCGTGTTAGTTTGAACTGCAGAGCTCAGAGCTCGTCTCGAATGATATTTCTTTCCTCGCAAGGAATCCTCGAGCTCGTTAAACTGCTGTGTGCAGTGGTGCGATGTTCTGGTGCAAGACTCCCATCTGCCGATTCTGGGAGCAATTTGTTCGCTGCCGGCAAAAGCCCCGTTTTAAGCAGGTGTCGGTATCACTCGCCATCGATGGTTTAACCGCTGGGAACGGCATTGTCCAAAATCGAGTCTTGTTTGTCCCAGAAAATGACGTACGATATATTTTCATTCGAAGCAACTCGTGGAAACTTTTCGGATGGTGGGGAATCGGTGTGCTTCCGTTGTTTCGATCGTCTCACTGACTCGGGATCGAAAAAAGTGATCCACGTCTCATCTATAGCGATGACACGGTCCACGAAATCCTTCGGGCACGCCGCACTTCGTGTCACCAAGGCAGAAGAAACGTCCAGACGGCTCTGCTTTGTGCCCTCCGAAAGCGTAGCCAACGGCCACTCGCTTCGCTCACGTTCGGCTCGTCGGACGGAATCTTCGAAACGGTTCCGTGAGAGAGTCCTCGTCCTCGAGGTCCATGGAAGACTGCGACAGGCGTCGGAGTGACGTCACCATGTATTCCACACGTTGGATGTTTTCGGTCGGATCCCGCAGTCATGGGCCTTCCAGGACGGGGGTTCGTCTTCCGTGGAAACTCTCTTCGTCTGCGAACGCCCGCACCCACTCGCGGTCGGTGCCATCGGGAAGGTTGGAGCTTCCACGCCGATCGTGAAATTCGCATTTTAACCCGTTCTAGCAAAAGAGGCTTCAAAAATCATCAAAATCTTCTCGTCACCGTCGCAGCAACGAAACGACCGAGGGCGAAGGACAAAAACCTAAAGACGACCCACAACCACCGATTAGTCACGCATCAGTGACGTTAATATAGTAACGCACGTGGCCGCTATCGGCTAACGGCATGGACTTTCTGACCGCACTTCGTATGCTCTCACTTTTGAGTTAACATGTTATACGTTTGAAGTCTATAATTCCAGCCAAGCCTGGGATATGTGGTATCGCTGTAGTGTCATATCAACAGTCACTCGGCCACTTAGGTGTCCAGACATGTTGTTATTTCCGATTCTCCTTACATCGCTTGAACTTTATCTGGTGATAAAGACCACGTACGAAGCTTCGGTCGAGTGGATTTGTGAGTTTTGCGTGAGCGGAGAGAGAGAGAGATAGCCTGAAAGTATAGGTATCCGAGGCGACACGGGGGGCCCTGATTTGTAGTAACAGTCGGCTTGAAGATAGAGAGACGCCCAGTAAAGGATTTTCGTCAGTCTAAGATAGCTGGGAAAGTCCGCCCACGTCTCGCTTGAGCAGTGGTTACCCGGTCACTCGTCCCTTTACAGTAGCGTACACGCAAATGACCAAGAGCGGAACCTCGAAGCTGAACCAAGTATGAGGGTCGCGGGAGAAACCATCCGACGGCTGCTCGGTGAATGGTTTCCGAAACGCATGCAAGACGATACCGAAATCGTTCCCGTAGCGAGCCTCTCCCCGATCTCACTGGAATGAGTTCCCTCATGCCAAATGCGGTTCCCGAACGTTTCCCACGTAGATCTTAGGGAAAGACGATGGAATTCCTCGATTCGTTTCTTTCGAGTCCTCAGCCCTGGGATACTCCAGGCGATTCTGGCCCAGAAGTTCCAGTTTGGATGGTTCCAACGGCCACTCGACACCACGGACTCAACATCTCTTCGCCTCGACTTTCCCGAGCCGAGGAAACCCGTCATGCTTCAGCGCAAAGTGAATTCGAATCCTCGAAATCTCACTCGTGATTTAATAAAAAAAAAGACGCAGACGTTGGAAAGCTTTGCCGGTCTCACCGATTCTAACCGGAAATGAAAGCACATGAACTGGAAGCCTTATAAATATTTGTCGTCCGAGCAAGGACTCAATGCCTCTCCAAAGGGCCACAGAGAAATAACAGCACTCGCTGAAATTGTGCCTGCCCGCTGTTCACGTGAAGGGTGCAAAGTAAGTAAATTAGGCGAATTAGTGTTGTATATGGGGTGGATTTTTTAAATGATAAATCTTGAAATTGTGTCAAATAGACATTGTTTTCCCCGAAATGCGAAATAGGTATGATTTGATATTTTTCTTCATAGGTGTTCATTCCATGCTTTATGGCAAGTCGACTAATCATTAGCTCATTTTCGGGGCGTGAAATTTTCAACCGTGAACAGTTGGCCCGACGAAGAGCCAACCGGACACGTCCGACAATATGCCGGCTTTAGCCATCTACAGTGCCGAGTACGAGTGTCGTACTGAAATTAATGAGCCCTAATATATTAGAGGAAAACCACTATTCGGACAAGCTTGAGATTTTATTCACACAAAACATGTTTCCGCTACTGATGGACATAGGGGGTTTCATTGTTTATGCCCAGGTGGCAGCACAGTAGCCATTGAAAATGGCGCCAACTATGGATGGTGTATTGAAGCAAAAAGCTCTGAAAGAGTTCCTCACAAAAGAATATGTTACCCCTGAATACATTCACGTGCGACTGCAGAATGCCTACGGCGAGTTATGCAAGTGCGAAACGGTGGGCTCTGCATTTCAACAGTGGAAACAATGACATAGAAGTCAACCCACGTTCGGGCAGGCCATCCAGCGCCGTGACACCTGACAGCAAAACGTTACACGATGCCCTCCCTCCCTGACTGTTACGTGACGATTATTTATCGGGTAACGGTCAGTCAACGATCATTTCGAATCAGTTCATCCACATGCGTTTTGGGCATAAACAATGAAATTTCCAATGTCAATCAGTTGCGAAAGCATAATGTTTTGTGTAAATAAAATCTCAAGCTTGTCCGAACAGTGGTTTTCCTCCAATAAATTAGAGTTCATTACTTTCGGTACGCTCCTCGTCTAAAGACAACCATATGCCAGTGATGGTCCAGCTATGGCTTATGCGTTAGTCAACTATAAGCCATTGATGGCCTGCTAAAAATTCGTGACTTGGCGGTCACGCCGGTAGAACGAATAAACTTCATCAGCCAAGCTTTCCTCTGCTTTCACATAACTGTACTCATCTCCGAGAATTGCGTTTTCGTTCGCGCTGAATAGAGACTACATCTCGGTAGGGGACCCATCCCCTGCCTATCTCTGCAGTCGACGGAACTTTCCAAACCACTTTAAACTCTAGAATATCCTATTAATATTACATTAATACCACGTATATTACTGCGTGGATACAAGACTTTTTTCGACTCATTTCGTGACACCCTTATATTGAGTTCTCGGTCCGCATATTCACTTTTTTCCATTCACGATCGAGCGATGAGGAAGCATGCCGGACGAGAGAAAATAGATCGCGATCTCATCGCGTTCCATCCGACGGCAAGCTCCTCGAGCCGTTCCCAAATTTTCGGCCCGGCGAAAGTTGAAAGGCGAGGTTGCGCGAAAGAGACGGACCACGGTCCCTTGTGATCGGAGGCGGGAAAAAAGGCAAAGGAAAACATACTCACCGCCGCCAGATATGATGTTCAGGAAGGAGAGCGATGAGCTACCTCGTACTTGCTACTGTCGAAGACACTTGATAAAGAACGCTCTCTTATCCGCACTACTTCAGCGTCGGAACGGACAACGGGATCCTCTGGGGGAGGAGCAACAGACGGGGGGGGGACGGACGTGCTCGGGCTATGTTTAGTCTGACCTTACAAGTGGTGTCCTCTTTTTGTCATTTCTCTCTGCTTACGAACGAATGGAGAGCAGTGATTGAATTTCCGATGCCGGTCCACAAACGGTCAGACCATCGTAAGATCCTGATTCCAATTCACCACGACGAAGACAAGGAGAGGAGAGGACGGCCGCGTTCGTCATTCGGAGTCGGGCCTATCTGGACGCAAGGTTAAACAGTCGAGTTGAGTCGACTTCGTACCTTTCTGTTGTGCTTATTACGTGTTTGAATGGCGTTCGCACTGCCAGAGCGGATAGTTCCTCGACGAAGCCTATCCAGTTGATCCGAAAAGAAATGCACAACGGGCATACGTACTCGATAAAAGAAGCATACGTGTGTTGGGGACCAAGCACCATCTCAAAGGATGCTTGGAGCTTTGAGTCAGCGAGTGCAAAGATATACGAAGACTGGACACTGCGGCGGTGCCTCAGATGTCGGGGAAACCGGGAAACCTGGCGGTTAGTCCTGGAACTATGTTGGACTGACCAATGGGATGGCTGGGCAGGAGTGATGCGTGAAAATGGTCGCCTCAGTCTCTGTCCCAATACTGTTACTTTGTCCCATTCTAAGAATAATTCAATAGGATGGATGGCGGCGTTTCGTTACTCGGTTCATAAAGGAACTTGAAGGCATGTGCATATGTCATATGAGTAAAATTATTAAAATTCGAATATAACCTTAATAGAGCTTTGTGGTTCCCGCGGGACATTATTTTGTTCGCGGCCCTGCATGGGTTCTGCCCATGTCAGGGTTGGGCCCGCATAGCCCTCCATTGTTTTTCTGGGGGTGTGACCTCCCCCTTCCGGCCACGCCGTCTTTCATTTTTCCGTCTCGTGCGGGGTCCTGTGTCGTCCGTCGGGGGAGTTCGTCCTGGACAGTCTCTCTCGTCAGCCGTGCCTGCAACCTTTTTCTTCTCGTCTGCCGTCTGTTGCTGTGCCTGCGATATCTCGTCTGACGCCGTGCTCTTTTCCGTCTTGCTAAAGACTCTCAAGACCTCCTCAAGACTTCAATTAACATCTGTGATATTTATTCTTTTCTCTTAATTTAACTTTAATTAAATACTTGTCCGTGTTGTTTGAACACCGTTTTATTATTTGTCATCAGTCGTCTCCTTAGACAGCTTGTCCTGTCTGTGGAGTGAGGCCAGGACCCTTTCTTTTGCCTCCGATTAACCGCTCGTGCTAAATTATCTTTCTCTTGTTTTCGGCTTAAAGTTAACGTTAAATGTCCACTTTTGAGGCCCTCCACACGACACATAGGTTCACTAGGAATTTGCAATAGGCCTCATGATTTTGTCCATGATGGTATCAAATCTCTTCTCAGTTTTATCACGGAAAGGACAGGAATATCAACACCGGACGCGTCCCAAGCTTTCACAACCTGGCGAATATATACAATAAGTCCGGAGCTGACTTCTTAAGTTCGATTTAGCCGTAGGCCTACGAAATTCTGCGTTTTGGAAGAAGGCATCAAAGTCCGTAAGGGGTACTGACTTGAGACCGTGTCCACGCTCCCAAGAACGGGTTAAATAGAGCTTTATTTTCGCATACATTATTTTGCAGATGAATTCGTACCATGGGCTTCCAAAGGCCTAATGTCTTTCGATTATTGGAAAGACACCTCACCTCCGTGGCTGCGCCGAAGAAAAAACGCTGAGCAACGTAAAAGGTGGAAGTTCAAAGTAGAATTTCTGTAGCGTTCTTTCCAACGACACGAGGGCTTTCGTTGTCGAATCAAGATTACCCAGCATGAGCGCAGTGTCCAATCTTGTTTGCATGAGTTCATTGAGAGGGTGAGTCGCTCCGATGGCATTGCGGATCTTAGAAGGGATGAAAGTGCCGATGTGAATGCGTCTTCAGTTTCTCTGGATCGAGGAACTAGTTCCAAGAGGAACTAAAAAGAACTCTGCCAATTTCTCCCGTTGTTTCAAACTGTGAAAACTATATATATCGCGGCAAAGCGAATTTCTACCTGATATTGCGTTGCATATTGATCAGCAGTGGCGATTAGCCAGTGAAAAACTGGAAAGGGGGGGGGGAGGGAAGATAGGTGCTCGGAGACATTTTGTATTGGGTCATCCGGAAAGTTCTGCAGTTTTTTTAATGACAAATCCAAGATAGCATTCTGAGAACGGTACAAACCTTTACTGAACAAGGTATGCGCCATTTTGTTCGATGACCTTTTGCCATCTCTTGGGTAGTTGGAAAATCCCCCTCTCGTAGAAGGTCCTGGGTTTGTTGGCGACATTCTGAGAACGGTACAAACCTTTACTGAACAAGGTATGCGCCATTTTGTTCGATGACCTTTTGCCATCTCTCGGGTAGTTGGAAAATCCCCCTCTCGTAGAAGGTCCTGGGTTTGTTGGCGAAGAATTCATCGAGGTGGGTTTTGACAGCCTCCAAAGAATTGAACTCCACGCCGTTCAGGGAATTTTGTAGGGACCGAAACAGATGAAAGTCCGAAGGAGCAAGGTCAGGAGAGTATGGGGGATGGACCAAAACATCCCATCCATAGTCCAGGAGTCTTCTGCGAACGTCCATAGACACATGTGGCCTGGCGTTGTCATGATGGAACACAATGCCCCGGCGATTGGCCAGTTCTGGTCGCTTTGCTTCAATAGCTGTCTTCAGATCTGCCATTTGGGAGCAGTACTTCTCCGAATTGATGGTCTGATTGGGTGGCAGTAATTCATAATGAACCACTCCCTTGTGATCCCACCATATGCAGAGCATCACCTTCTTGGGGTGCAACCCACCTTTGGAGGTCGTTTGAAGCAGTACTTCTCCGAATTGATGGTCTGATTGGGTGGCAGTAATTCATAATGAACCACTCCCTTGTGATCCCACCATATGCAGAGCATCACCTTCTTGGGGTGCAACCCACCTTTGGAGGTCGTTTGGGGAGCTTCACCGGACTTACTCCATGATCGTTTACGCACAACATTGTTGTAAAGGATCCATTTTTCATCTCCAGTAATCATCCGTTTTAAAAAAGGCACTTCTTCGTTGCGTTTCAACAGAGAATCGCAAGCCGATACACGAGCGAGAAGATTGCGCTGTTAGAGTATGCGGTACCCAAACACCGTATCGATATGTTCATCTGAAGAAGCTTGGCTACGTAAGCCGATACGATCTTTAGTCTTATAGATTAAATGTATGTCAGGAGTGACAATAAAAGTTCTCATACAATTTTCCACTGCAGCATGGAAATGTTAATTCATTCCAAATATAAGACAGTTAGACCGATAAAATTTCCAACAATCGCCGGGTCAAATTTCTGATCGTCTCAGTTGACTAATGATGCATAGATATGGATGCAAGGGTATTGTGAATCCGATTGAGTACCGTTCAATATTTGGTGGTGGGCTAGCTTCAGATACTGACTGATTGGGTCAGAAAGCCACACACGTTGTAGAATGGGAGATGTTCGATGCACCAAACCATGAGGAAACTTGTGACAAGCCCGCAGGTGCGAACGGCGAATAGTGCCACTTATCTTTTACTCATTAGATTCCTAAAATTGTGCCAGAATATCAAAAGTAGCTCTATGTGGCGTTTTCGTCGCACCGGAGAGAGGCAAGGGATTAATGAGAGTGGCACAAAGTACTCCATAGTGGAGTTTTCGACTGACTTTGCGAAGAAGCGAAGCCGTGTTACTTACCCAGCTAAAAAATAAAGTTACAAGGAATTAATAATTTCTCATGAGATGTCATAACTTCATATAAGATCCGCCGAGTTTCTAACGAGAGTAGTAAGATTAGGCATAGCACTTCGATACATCGTCATGGGGACTATGAGGATCCTATCAGGCCTGAAAGGTCTCACATGTATCTCATTGAGATCCCACGAAGTTCTCATGAGAAACTTGAGAATCCGCACTAGATCGCTGGTTTAAAATCTCATGAATGTCTCATGTGATTTTTTCAGCAGGAAGGCTAGTGGTATTCTACGATGTTATTCGAACTGTTTGTCAAAGTAGGTAATCTCAGGCTATCAAAGATTAAAAGAGTAAAGCCCTAACTTCCAGGTTGGAAATGCTTGAAGGTGGAGGAAACATTTTGTGAAGTTGATGAACCAACTCATGGAGGATTTTGAAGTCTCTCCAAGGTGGAAATATATCACAACGAAGTTCAGCCCAGGATCGCTACCTCGTAGAATTAAAAAGCTTCTGCTTTGAATTATATGCAAGCAAAAGCATTAAACGCAATAGATACAAACGCAATAGACAACGAATGATGTACTTGTTTCCATAAGGGAAGTTGAGCCACATGGGAATTGGAAACAGGAGGTACTCAGTTTTCTTTTTTAAGGAACTGGTTCTATGGAAGGCAATAATTGCTAGGAACCCGTTGTCCTTAGCAATGTCTGCCCTTAGCACTTTGAAAAGTTTTTGAATTGGTGGCTCTAGTCTTCACGGTTTCAGAACTTGACTTACACACTGACCTCTTGAACAAGACACTTCTTCCTTTCTCGTTTAACAAAGCAAATAAAGTTATCGGTAATGTGACCGGGTTGAGCTCAATCCTTGCACAGACGCTGAGATAGAGCAAAACCAGAGACAATCTAGGGCAATATGATGAGGGTAATCCACGTTTTTCTTTTTTTTCTCTTCGAGTCATTCGTAACACCTCTACCACCACCACCCCCTAGTAAGGGATTCAGTTTCCTACGATTCGTAATTTTCAATATACTTTTTACAATTTATTTTCGGGGCTGAGTTTAATTCAGAAGAAATTCGTTGACTTTGATCAACAAAGTCTTTTTTATATTTTGAGCTAAAAACCACGCATAAATAACACTTTCATAATTTACTCTTGATTTTCAGTGAGAAATCTAGAAGGTGATAATGTGCCAGGGAACATGTGGAACGAATCTCTTCCAGTCGACAATGAGACTAGATGCAGGAGACTTGCAGACATAGAACATGGACATTTTATAATAAAATCCTGCCCAAGTATCGGCAAGAGGTAATGCTGTAAAACACTATACTGTATATAATAATATTAAGTGATGTTCTCCTATTATGAGGAAATTATGCAAGACTATTGATTACCTGTTCCAGGATAGTTGATGCCACTCTACCTGAAGAGGTTGGCAAAAACAACACAGAATGCATTAAACACGACAGGTATGAGACTGGAACCGTTGTAGAATACGAGTGCAACCAGTATTATATTCTCAAGGAATCACGGCGTCGGATTTGCAAAACGAACGGACAATGGAGTGGAAGAAATCAATTCTGTGAGCCGGGTGAGTTTCCATTTAAATGCTATTTCATGAAAAGGGATCCATCGCATATTGGAATGCCACTATGAAGCAGCTTTACTCCGGAGATAGGTTGTGGGAAAAGAGTGCCACTGGGTTTGTCAGCAGGTGGAAAACCTTCAGGAATTGGAAAGTGGCCTTGGCAAGCTGCCATTTATGACATCAAAAATGAGCTCCTCATTTGCGGAGGGGCTCTCATACGAGAAGACTGGGTTCTGACCGCCGCTCATTGCCTCGCCGTGGATGGTGCTACACGACCTCGGCTCAAAGAAGATTTCCTCGTTTATTTAGGAAAACACTACCGTAATGACTCCTTTGACGACGAATTTGTAGAAAATAGGAAGGTGACCTTACTTTCCTCTACTTTTTCGCCGATATAGTCCCGTGCCACATTATAATTTATATGGAATCGCTCCAGGTTTCTAGGGTCATCCTTCACAGTGGCTTCAACCGATACAACTACGACTCTGACATTGCCTTGTTGAAACTAAGCCACCCGGTAGAGTTGACCGAGCGGGTGCAATTGATATGCCTCCCGACATATCAGTTCCTTCACTTCTCCGAGGCAAATCTTGATAATGGAAATAGAGGATGGGTGAGATTTTGTTTTTTCCACACATTTTAAAAATCATTTATTGTCATTGTCATTTCTGGTTATTCGTGAGTTTTATTGACAGGTGGCTAGTTGGGGTGCAAATGGTTCGGATATCCTCAGTGATGTATTGACGGAGATTGAAATTCCAGTTTTATCAAATGCCAACTGTCATAGAGAGACCATAAAACGAATGGGGAAAGGCGCCACACAAAGACTTAACTCGCAGTCTTTTTGTGCCGGCCACGACGAGGAAGCTTCTGAAGGTATGCATTCAAGAGGGTAAATGTTTTCAAGAGAATTGCTTTTTTGCCAAGGAATTATTTTCGAGATGTTATTCCGAAAGTCCAGCTCTCATTGTCTCGAAATTGGATTTACTAAATAAACTAGTGCATTATCTTATATTATCTTCTAAAATTTTAAGAAGATATTAACCCTTAGATTGCCTTCATATTGATTATCTTATTGAATTACAAGATGTTTAACCTTTCAAGTACTGAGTTTCGACCTGACCTCCCAAGTGATAAACGTATGTTGTGCGTGAAAACTGCTTGAATTAATGAAGAAATAGGAAGGATGGGGAAAAAAGGACCAATCATTGGAGTTTTCGAATTCAAATGTTACCCATTCTGGCTCTGGCAAAATGATCTAAGCCATGAAAATTCCAAGCCAAAAACGTGGTGAAATCTGGACAATAGATGAGGAAATCATTCTTTGTGCATTTATCTTTGTTGTTTTCGTGGATAATCGACAAAAAGTCCCCTTCCGAACTTAAATACCCAAGCCCTGACTGAAGTGACAAGGTTTTGTAAATGCCTGTGTAAATTAAAGGTCGTATGTTTTCAAAAATGTAGGTAACAGAAATACATATTTAAGCACAAAAACATGCTCCTCAGAGAGGAAAAATCATTCAAAGAGCAATATCGCCAGCTTCTAATAGTTTTTGTTTATTTCGCAGTTGTAATGAAAGAAATTATGAACAGTTTCACATATTCCCCCTGGTTACCACATGAAATATTCAAGAAAATTTACTATATATTATTATGTTTACCTGTAAATGTTTAATTCATCCCTGTGTCTATCTGCACATAGGGTAAACACCCCAGTTTCTTGGCCACACTGATACGACTCCCATAGGAAATGGACACCCTGTGCGCACACCAGGAAGCACTAGAAATAGGTCCTCGCTTGGGAACATGTTGACAGAATGTTTGAATGTGACCAAATTAACTAATTATGCCGGATTTAAGCCTCACTGGAAAACAAATGGTTACCGGCTAGAAACAGGAATGTTTATGCTATGCTTCACATTTCATAAGCATTGGTGACAATTTAGCAACCTCAAGTGAAACTTTAATTCTCAGGTGTATGCACGAACCGAACGCGCATAATTTTGAATGATTGAATCAAAGGTTATGCAGACTGGGTCATGTCGATGTAGAGAATTGTGACACCCTTTAAGAAAGAGGATCGTATGAGTTAATTTTTACAAAGGTTTTCTATTCATGAGGCCCATATTGATTAAATTTATTTTACTTGGCGTATAGATTTCCAAATGGTGTGTCCTGGGGATTCAGGAAATCCGATGGTCTTCTATACTCAGGCCTTGAGGCAATGGCAGATTGAAGGAATCGTGAGCGACACTCTCAGCAAGGGGCTCTGCTCCAGGAAGCGTCTAGGCGAATATGGCATTTTCACTAGAGTCAACCGGTCAGATGGCATTTCTTTCGCTCTTTATTTTCCTTCCATTCTTGCATACCATATATCCCCATCCTTCATGATAGATTTAAATTCTCACCTCTTCTCCATTCTCCCTTCAGGTTTCTGGATTGGATCCTTCGAAAGATTGATGACGCACGATGAGGACCTCTGATTATTCCCTAGAATGTCATGAGTTTCACTCATAACTTGTACTATGCAAAATAAAAATAAAAAACATTATCCACGTTAAACGCATGAAAGGTTTGACTTTTTTGAGAGCCTACATCACAATTTAATAATATTGCTGCGCATAAGAATACAAATGTCCATGACCGAGAGCATGACCTTGCCGGGGTGCAGTCACCTTTCAGCTCTGGCTGCGGCTCTTCATCGGCGTCTATCCACTGACGCTTGCGGGTATGGTTCGCGTACATCACCCACTTCTCATCCCCCGTGACGAGGTCGTCGAGCCAATCGAAGCGCCGTCGGAGGGAGAGGAGAAGTGCACAGGTGTCGGAACGTTGCTCGAAGTCCTTCCGTGTCGAAGCATGGGGTATGCAACTCCCGAGCTTCGAAACCTTCCCGATTGTGGACAGGCGGTATTCGATAGTGAAGCGGGAGCACCCGGGGACGGCGCCCATGTCGCGAGTGGTCATGCGAGGAACGGCTTCCACGAGTTGTAGTAGGGCCTCATCGTCCAACTCCGACGGCGTCCCGAACTCGACTCGTCTTCGACACTATAGTTTCCGGACTTGAAGCGAGCGAACCGATTGAAGCATGGCTTCTCGCTGATGACTCCTTCCCCAAATGCGTGGCACAGACGGCGATGGGCGTCTGCTGTCTTCTCTCCCAAAAGGAACTTATCGAGGAGGCAGGGGCGACGGTGGTCACGGTCAAGGTCGAACTTCAGCTTCATACTTGGAGGTAAGGGGTCGAAAATAACCTGAACCTGCACGCAAGAAGGGAGACTATTTATAGGCAAAGCAGGAAAATTCTAGAAAATTCGTGAGGCTTCCGGAAGAGAAAAGGTGAAAACTGAAGAACTTTCCGGCCAACCCAAGATCATAGTAGACAAAGAAGATGATCAATAGCAAGTCAATGGCGAGATTGTTGGTTGCGCCTCCGGTTCTCCATTGTCCTGGATAGTGATTCTTCCATTAATTCATTTTCGAAGTGGCGAGAACGTTTCAAAAGTAGCGTAATATGCCTAAGTTCGTGACCGTCAAAAAATGTACCTAAGTTCGAGATACCACAGATTCGATCACCGTCGCTCGATGCTATATGCTAAAATATTGCACACTCACAACCGCATCGTGTTTATAATTTCGCTATAGTGTAGAATAGTACTGTGCCTACGTTCGAGGCCATGTCGAAGTTATGAACATATTGGGGGAAAAACTGAGAAAAATCCCAATAGGTACTCTTGTATTTCAAACCGGAGGTTAAACATATAGCGTGCGCGAATCTGGCCGCTAACTAGGCCGAGCGACAATTTTTTTTATTGGTTGTTTGAGTGAGTGTGTGACAGCTTTCCAGGCCAAACGCTTCGAAATATGAATTTGGGGTTTCGACAGAACTATTTTTTGTCTTCCGAGGATGTGCCTTTTCGAAATGAAATTTGCAAATCGGCCTCACGAAAGGAAGGGGAGTCGACTTTCACGGAAAATCGCCATCTCTGGGGAAAAGGAGGAGATGAGAGTTACCTTTTTACTCGCAAGGGAACGATGCCATTGTTCACTGCATTGCCTGGCGCCTGCCGCCGGGAATACAGGGATTTGAAACGTCCATGGTGATATACGGAGCTGGAGAGTTCATCAAAGGTTGCATTGTTTTCCCGTAACGCAGATGCACTGGTAGATGACAAAAAAATTTAAAGCATAATCTACAGGACCGGAAGCTAGCAGTAAAAAGAAAAGATGGTCTGCGAATAGTGATGGTAATGGTTGTTGCAAGTTCCCTGTCTTCGTTTGTAACGGGTCGCCGACCCTCAAGTCGACCATGACCGATGAACACAGGAGTTGTATCGTTAAATACAGCATCCATTTTGAAAAACGGAATGCCAATAAAGGCAACCTTGTTTATAGGGAACCACGGCTATAACGACGATTTTTTCCTGGTCCCTTCGATGACGTTATAACCGAGTTCGACAGTAATTCTAAAGATCGTTCTTTCCATCAATATTAACGACAGTGACCTGCATCTTGTAGTTTGGAATTCGAAGTAGCGGGTTCACTTCAGATCCAATTTCACTGTATGATAAAAGATTTCAGACGAACCTGAAAATCCGGGAAAGTGCTTCTCGTCCAGAGACATCTAAATCATATCTAGTTAGAACCTAGATCGCGTGTCATTGTGAAATAACGCGGTGATTTCGGGCCGGGCGTAGGGGTCACAGATAGCAGACGACACATCTGGAGATCACGGGTAGCAGACGACGCTAAGCCGGGGCTGAAGCCGTCCAATCAGGTGGCTTCCTCGGTTAATCATGGCGTGATCCGTAGCGGATGCTTGGCCGAAGGGTTCAACCATGCGGTCGGCGTCTTGAAATTCTTGAACTTCGAGACCTGGCATTCCCTCATTGGTCTCCGTCGGGCCCAGCTCCTCAAGTCTGCAGAGAATGGATGTGATTGTTTGCCTAGGTCCATTGTTGAGCTAAAACTAGAAGTCTTCTCCGTTGTTCCTTTGCCACTCGTCAGTTGCAACTACTTTAAGTTAGGATTAACAACCTTACCTTCACGATGCTGTTCTGTATCCTGTTTCACTTGCCAAGCCATTTTGTGCCCCAATAAGCTTTCGCATGACACTCCCAATAGGGTTAATGTACGAAAGGAAGACCTGAATCTGAAACCCTACTTCACCTATTAAGTTGTCCCTTGTTGATTGAATTAGGTTAAAATACAAGCCTGATGTGATGCTTAAGAGAGTTAGAAAATGCTATGTGATTGCATTGGTCTAGGTTCAGCATGTAATCTAGGCTATTATCAACACATCTGAATGATGTGAAGGTGAGCCTCCAAAAGACCATAGTGTAATGTAGTTAGGGGTCTAATTGACCATAGTCATGTGACTAGCTATACAGTCATCATTCAGTGAATGCACCATGTGCACTTGCAATTCATATTGTACTAAAGAATGCAAGCATATCAGTATGTGTGGATTTCTTTTTGTGTTCCATCAGATGATTTGAGAGCCCTGCTGTGAAGTAGATCTAACATGGAAATGTCTGGGCCGAGGGGTGGGCCGCATTCTGGGCCAGGAGGAATGTATGGACCCCCAGGTGGATATCCTCCATATGGAATGATGCCTTCTGGTCCCCCGCCTCATGGGATGCCTCCTCACATGTTCAGCATGCCACCTCCGCCTTATGGTATGGCTCCTCCCTCTGCCTATGGTGGGGCAACAACAATGACAAAGGAAGCAGGTAGGCACTGGCATAGGCTTAAATATATGCTGTATTTCGCCACTGACTATGAATGGGCCTGGTTTTAGACCTTTGCTAGGCCCACTCACATACCCTCACCTCTTGAGGAGAGGTTTTTGGCAATTCAAGAAACTTGCCCAAAGGATAGTAGTTATCCTAAACCTTTGTGCAGTGGCACCTCTTCCTGCCTAGAGGACCCTTACAAAAGGGAATTAGCCCCTTCTGAATTGATTGAAGATGGCCTTTTTTCTTATTACTCTTGAAGGAAGCAAGGGGCTGAGCCCACTATGCAAAAGTTTCAATTCAAGGGTGGAGAGTGAGAGGACTGTCACATAAAATGAGAATTAGTCTGCAAATTCCCTTTGGTGAACATCATTGATCTCATTTTTCCTTTGACAGTCTACCACCTGCATGGCACACACACGCACACACACACATGACACACCATTTTTAGACCAATTCCTACCAGAAAAGGAATTTTTTTGAAAAATTAGAAATTTGCTTGTAGCAGGAAGGGCATGAGCAACTGCTATCCTGCCTGGATCTCATCCTCAAGGTGCGTTAGCATTGCTCAGCTGAGCTTGGGTTGGAATGTCCTGGCAACAGTCACAGATTCTAGTTTTCTTCCAGCCATTGTAGCTGATGGATCCATTTTTGGCAGACAAAGACAATGGGAGAGGCTGTACATGGCAGCAGAGACAGGGTTACCAACTGAACTCACACAGTACCATATCTAGTATTGCTTGCATGTCATACTCTCTTTCCATTTCCTACCCTACCTACGATATCCTCCTGTTCCCAACTGTCATTGAAAGGAGCCCCACTATTGGACTAAACTTGCTCAGCTTGTTTAATAGGCCTACTTCAGAGGCAGAAGGAACCATCAACAATTATTGGGGGAATCATGTTTTTTGGCAGAAATTCTTTGAAGCAGGCATGCTTACTAGTAGAGGAGGATGGGAGGTGATTATGATTGTGGCAGTTGTTCTGGAATCAGAAATCTTTCTTCTTTATCCCTGTGAAAGATGAAGTGCCTGGTCTTTTTTCTTTCACAGGAAAAAATAAACACACAGTGGATTTATGAGCAGAGGAGTGTCTTTTGGGAAAAAAAAGGGTAGAGGTTGGTTGCTCTGCTCATAAATCCACGGTGTGTTTATTTTTTCCTGTGAAAGAAAAAAGACCTGGCTCTTCATCCTTCAAAATCCTTTGAAAAAAAAAAGTTCAATTTCAATTCTCAGACACCCTTTACAGAAGTGGTTCAACATTACAATGGCCAATTTTCTTTTTCTATTTTATTGTCTGATAGAAAAAGAAAATTGGCCATTGTAATGCTGATCCACTTCTGTAAAGGGTGTCTGAGAATTGAAATTAAACTTTTTTTTGTTGTTGAAGGATTTGTTCTTTGCTGTGGGTGTAGGCTCCTGGAAGATTAGGCTTCAATGATGTGAAAATAGTAAAAATTGTCAATATGTATTAGTATTGTTTCACCCTTTAACTGTAATGAAAACATTCACCCATTAGTGAAAGAAATGCCCACATTGCTATTGATGCGTATATGTGTCGTGAATTTTCTGTTCATTACCTTTACCACTGTTTGTGGTAAAGGTAATGAACAGAAATGTGAGACTTGAACCTTATTCTTCCGCTATGAATTGAGAGTTTCTTGGTACATCATACTGCCTAATAATAAAAAAGTCTGCACAGGGGTTCAAACTGCCAACATAAAACTCAGCTGGTCATGGGTTTAAATTCAACATAGAAAAAGGAGTGGTTTGCTGATATCATAAAACTTATTTACAGATGGTGGTCAAGCAGTGATCTCTGCTGCACCCCAGCTGAATGCTTCCCATGTATCTTCTCGGGATGGTGCTGATAGGTAAGCCACTCACCAACCCTGAAAATTCCTAGGCTGCAGCCCAATGTGAAAGTCTCATGTGGGCCTCACTTCTCAAAGCAAGTGATGTAATTCCAATCAAGCATGATATTTTTTCTATTTTCTATTCTCTCCAGTGATAAGAGGAGTCAATGGACTGAGCATAAGGCACCTGATGGTAGGACATACTACTACAACAGTATGACAAAAGAAAGCAGCTGGGAGAAGCCAGATGAACTGAAAACACCTGCAGAGGTAAACTGACAAATTTGATTTTGTTTTAATGCCTTCTGAGTACTTTTGGGTAAGGTATATTATCATCATAAATCTTCATAGCTCTTGCTCTCGAAGTGTCCATGGAAGGAATACAAAGCAGAGAATGGCAAGACATATTATCACAATGTGGACACCAAGGATTCTTCCTGGACTATGCCCAAGGAGTTGGAAGAACTGAAAGCCAGGGTTTTGGCTGAATCAATGTGAGTGTCACTAAAAGTGACTTGAAAATTCTTGCAAATTAACTCAAGTATAAGCTGTTTCTTGTTTGCTTTTTCAGGGGAGATGCTCTGAAAGAGAGGGAGGAAGAGAAGGGAGGACGGGACAGCACAACTCCTCCAGGGGAAGGTGGTGAAGGAGAGAGGCTTGAAGAGGAAGAGGGGTATGAGGCTGCCTCACCTCACACTCCGAGCAGCCTTACTCCTGATCCAGGCACCATTTTCCCTCCTGCTGGCCATCTGATGCCATCAGAAACAAACAAAGGTGGTGGAAGCTCAGTCCTTGACCAAGCGATGGCTGCTACTCTGGCTGCCATACATATGCCAATACTCCTGATCCAGGCACCATTTTCCCTCCTGCTGGCCATCTGATGCCATCAGAAACAAACAAAGGTGGTGGAAGCTCAGTCCTTGACCAAGCGATGGCTGCTACTCTGGCTGCCATACATATGCCAACTCCTTTGACCATCAATGAAAGTAAGTAGTTAATTTTGGCACGATGTTTGGAAATATTTCCATCTAGTCAGGTGTGGGAAGTGCTATGAGTTTTTTTTAATTTACTTATTTTGCTGAAGGAGATGAAGGGGAATTAGAAGAAGGAGGGGCAGAGGATTCATCAGATGAACACTCATGTAACTCCAGCTCCTCACACTCTAAACATTCTCGTTCTCACAGCGTTCAGGTTGTTAGGGCCTTCTAATGTGAAGACGTTCATTGCTGTCTGTTCGCAAGCTCTTCAGACTCACTAGCTGTTCATTCTTGTGGGATGGATATTCCCATTATTATTGAATTAGAATGCAATTTCCTGGAACTTTTCAACTTTCAGACGATAATCGGCACTGGCCGATGGCTATGAGATGAAAATCGGCCATCTGTCCACCAGTCTAAGATGACCTTCGGTAGAGCCTTAGTTATAATGAACCTAGAATGTGTTATTCATTAATCGTTTCTATTCTTTATCTCGAAAACGTAGAGTTTCATGAAACATTATACTCAAACATGTTTTGTAGTCGAGAGTCCGCCCTAGCCAGCGGTATAATTTATTTTCCCCCTTTCTGACCATACTTGAGTAAGATAAATGTACGAAAAAGATAATGCATCTATCATGCACCTCTCTTGCCATCAGACGCTGTCCTTCTCCCTCCTACATCTTGGTAATGTCATGCTTGACAAAAAATCACTTTCAGATATCATTTGTAGTCTAGATTCCACCCTAACTGGTGAAATATATGTAGAAGTTGTGCGCCTTCATTTTAGTTTTATACTCCCTCCTCCATCCTCTATCTCACTTCCGGACAGATGAGATTGAGGAGGGGGAGGTCAGGCAACGTTCAGTCTTTTTCGAGCATCTCCAAAATGGCTCGTCCCCTGAGACATCCTTTGTCCCCAGACAAGATTTTGGAGCTCCGTGTCCATTCTAGTCTGCGGCATACATTTCCGAGCAGCACGTTCATCTTCACGAGGGGAAATATCATACCTATACTGGGAGATTCAGAACCCCACAACAACTCGGAACAGTCTGCCTTTGCGTAATATAGACACAGGGACACTTTTCCAAAGCAGGGAATTTGTAACTAATTACAACTGTGATAAAGGAATGAAATATTAAAATGTCGTTCAATTTCCCCGCTTGAATATGGTAAGCTTTGGGAAAAAGAGGGGCACCCGTTCCAAGCTAAGCTAAATATTTACTCATTCAATATCGACGAAGAGGGAATGATACTTTCTCCCCTCCTTCCAGGATTTTTTTTTTCTCTTGCGCCGTCTCTCCAAACTGAGTCCAGCCAAGAGTCTTATTTGCTCAGCCATTCGGTTTATCTTATTAAATACAGCATCTCCCATACATGTTCGGATAGGCAAGCCCATGAGGCAGTGGTAACTCGTTGGGGTAGGCACGTTAGGCCGGGTATAGCCTGGACCTGACAAGAAAGAGAGCCTCAAGGGAGATCGTGAATTTTTCATTTTTACTCCTTCGTAACTTCTATACGTAGGTATGACAATGTTTCGGAATGCCTCTAGCCAGAATAATATTTGGGCTTCCTCGTGAGAGTCATTAAATTTGGCGAAGTACTGGAAACCAGTAAAGAAAAGGATAAAATAATGCTTTGTGCTACAAAGCTGGGTCCGGGCTGCATAATTTGAAACCTTACTCCTGTTCGAACACTGGGACCAGAACAGCCAATCAAACTCCACCATGGTGTCATGGTAGGAACATGGCTACCCCCGTAGCCGCTGGAAGTTCAAGCGAATCAGGCACAACTCACGAATAAACAGGTCGCTGAACATATAGCTGAGTTCGAAAAGAATATGGGTCTATGGTTTTTTCAATTAAGTTGGACAGCTCAACGCAGGCCAACCTTCTCCTAACTGCCACCACTATGACACTAGGCCTATGCAACATAAGAAAATATTGGTTACGCGATGGCATATGAAGAGCTGCGAAGTTAGGCCTAGGTTTCAATTAGCTTAGTGACCAATAGTCATATTTTTTTATGAAGTATCAAGAGGTTGAAGGTAATGCAAGTGAGGAATGTGAGTCTTGGTACTGGTTTGTAGCGACTACGTTTTCAGTGATAATGTACATTTGGTAACATAGCATTATGGGACATTGATTTATGCATTCCCCCTACATAACTTGAAGGACTGAAATACATTTTCAGAGGGAAAGTATTTTAAATCACCTAATCTACCAGTGACAAAAAGTACATAGTAGACTTTGTCAGGAGGATGTACCAGAATGCATGGGAAATGGGTTGCTCTCATGTCATTGAATGGCACTCACCAGCTGTCTGGTTCTTTCAGCATTCATTGATCCCCATGTTCTGGCAAAACTATATTTTGGAGTTGCTTGCCTTAATGTATTCCTTTTTTTAATGTCCAATAAGTGCTGCATGAATGAGCATGAAGATGCTTCCTTGCCAATGTCCCAAGGTTAGCACTTTATCACATCCAGGCTCTTCATATTTTCTCCTAAAGGTTCCAATTACACCCAAGTGCCATCAACTTCTCCCCTTAACCCTAACTCTAAATCAAATCAAACTATCCTGAAATTTAATTAGATGGCAGATACTTAAGCTGATTGTAAAGCCTTTTGAAAGGGTGAATCCAGCTATTTAGCTGCTTTTTAGTGAACAACTCATGTATGAAATGGATTGCCTTGCTAATTTTTT